CCTATGGCCTTAATCTGCAACAGGACCAGCTTGCTAGACTACTCGAAATTGCCACAACCAATCAGCTTTTCCAGTTTAATGGTCAACTCTACCAACAGACAGATGGTGTGGCCATGGGCTCGCCCCTTGGTCCTCTAATGGCCAATGTCTTCATGTGTCATCTTGAAGAAAAGCTTACATGCGAGGGCTTGATGCCCCAGTTGTACAAGAGGTACGTCGATGATACTCTGGCTAGAATGCCTAGCGTTGATGTTGCTGCTGAGTTTCTTAGTACCCTGAATGGCCTACACCCCAGTCTATCATTTACGATGGAACTTCCTGTGGATAACAAGATCCCTTTTATTGGCATTGAAATCGTTAAGAACGGAACTAAACTTGAAACTCAAGTCTACAGAAAACCAACAAACACCGGATTGCTCCTACATTTCCAAAGTCACACGGATAAACGCTATAAAGACTCTTTATTACAGACAATGATACATCGTGCCTATTCCTTGTCGTCTACAACAGAGGCTTTCAGTGCAGAATGTGCCAAGTTGCGCTCTATATTTAGTCGCCTTGACTATCCAATGAGTTTTATTGATTCTGCTATCAAAAAGTTTCTTTTTCTAAATTCCTCAGCGAACGAAGCAGAAAGAAACAATGATGATAGTAGCACAGTAAGATTTAGTCTTCCTTTTAAAGATCAAGTGGCCGCTAATGCGGTTCGTAAGCAGTTACGCGATCTTAGCCATAAAATTGGCCCTACTTTGCAACCGGTTTTCGTGAGCAAGAAATTGGGGCAAGACCTCAGACCCAAAGAAATCAAGCCGTCAATTGTTAATAAGCAGTGTGTTGTTTACAATTTTTCATGTAATCTGTGCGATGCAGATTATGTCGGGTATACAGCCCGACACCTTCATCAACGCATTGCTGAGCACAAAAATTCGGCAATCGGTAGACATTTTTTAGAAGCTCATGGTAACAACAACCTTTTGAGAGAAAGCCAATTCACGGTTTTAAGAAAGTGCCAGAGCAAATTTGATTGCTTAGTATTTGAAATGCTCTTCATCAAGAAACTTAAGCCCAATTTAAATATTCAGACGGACTCTATACGTGCGAAACTCTTTGTTTGATATTTTCTCACGTTACAATCTTTTATCAGCTATTGTTGTTTTTTAGTATTTATAGACCAAAAATCACTTCTTAATTTGACTTGATAATGACGTTCAGCCAACGTCGAAACGTCGTCGCTTTTTAACAATTTTTTTAATCTTAAAATGTTTTTAAGTAATGTCTTATCGCAATTTTTTATAGTGAAATGCTTTTCAAAATCACTTCTTGTTCGTATAATATTTTTTTTTTTTTTTTTATGGTGGATCTGATACAAGTTCCAAGCAATAATAACAGCGAGTTCCGCATCATCAGGAGGCGCAGCATGCGTGAACAGAAAGGATTGTTTAGACGACAAAATGGCATGATTTACAGTCCATTTACAATTAGTGGGTTTCTTAAACCACGATTTAATTTAACCCAACGGAAATTCTTGTTTTTCTTTTGTGGCCTTGCTCGGACAAGTACTATCATTACATCGTTTACTTCAGCTTTATAATCCTAAGTTAGCGCCAACCGCCTCACGAACAACTCACTCAAGCATTAACATACTTAGGAGTAGGTATCTGGTTCACATATTCAGGATTAGGTATTTGATTCACATATTCAACGACGCCGTCTTCCACTGTGGATGTGTAAGTGCGAGAACCCTCGCCTTCTGGAGCCTACAAATATCCAGTTTTATTTGTGAGAAAACTGATGGTTTTATCTACTTTACAGACAAGGTTTATCGACTCCAACTGTGCTCTCAATTCCTTTGAAAATTGCTGTTTGCTTGACTAAACTCTCCATTGTCAAGAAACAAAATTGAACGACTCCATAAACGCAACCCAGCGATAATAAGATCATGTCAAGAGTAAATATTATTTTCTCCTGATGGTGTAAAACATGTATGTAGTTAAATGATATTTCTATTCAGGTCTTTGTGACATATTGTGCTTACCATCAAGCAATTAATTTACTACATCTTCTGATGATATAGACTCTTTGGCACAGATACGGCTAAAAGTTTAGACAAGTGGTTTTGAAACGTAATGCCTAGTTCCAAATGAAACCCTTCTACCTGGCAATAATGTGATTTTTCGCATATATAAAGTAATAAGTAGATAGATAGATAGCTGAGTAGTTTGAAAACACTCTAACTATCGCAATTTTTTCATTCCATTTTTTTGTAATCTGATTAGGTAATTTAAATTCATTACCATCACTGGCTCTGGACACAGCGCTATATATACATCCTCCCGTTGGACAAACGGTTTACGGAGCCTAAATAAATAAAAAATCAATAATAAAAAACAAACAAACAAGCAAACAAACAAAAAGGAAAGAGGAAGCAAATCTAGCTTAGCTATTGCTTAATTTGAGGAACGATTTCAACCGGAATTTTAAGCCGGTACAAAGGTTTTTGAGCAGGGAGGAAAACCTGTGGATTCAATTGCTACCCATGAAATAACTAAGCGCTATCAAAATTCGGTTTACTCCAGCTTTATAATCCTGGATTAACGCTAAATTAGATTAATAAGATTAACCCTAAATAGCTTTTGATACGTTTTCTGTTGGTGAAGCATTAACGTACTCATGAGCTGGTATTAAATTCTCATATTCAATGTCTTTGGCCTCTCTTTTGGATTCATCAAGCGACGCGTATGTTCGTGAATCTTCCCCTTCAGGCGTCTGCGAAATAGACAGTTTTATTGGTAAGCAGAATTTCATTCAATATTTTTTTTTGTTTTTCAAAATCACATTTGGATCACATTGGGTTGTTTTCGTTTCATTTTATGTATGATTACCATCATTGACTGAGGACCTAATGTGGCACATACACCCTCCCGTTGGACGAAAGGTTCATTTTGGAGCATCTCATTACTTGCTTCATTTCCCGCGGAAACACTGGGTTGGGCCGGTACAACCACTCAAATTAATCAACGGAAAACCGTCTTAAAAGTCGCGCTGATTTCTGTGTAGAGACAGGTTACAAATAAACATACAAAAAGGAAACAGGAAACAAAGTAGGCTAGCTATCAATGGCATTTCAGAATGAAAATACATTGACTGCTAACAGTAAGACAACCAAACAAAAGTTCAAAAAACAAAGCAGCGAACAGCTCGCTATATTCATTAGGCAATTAGGAATGTATCAAATCGACTTGATAGAAAATGTAAGAGCAGCGTCGGTTTGACAATCTTTTGCTACGGCCTTTAGTGGCATTCGATCACTTAAGAAATCCACAAATTTCCTCTTCTGTAAAATCTATGGGAATCATATTAGCGAAAACGCAGAGAGACGTTTTGTTTTCGAGATCATCGAATGCCGTGGTTAATGCAGAGTTCATATTTCCTCATTTTGTCTCATGCTCGTGGGTAAGGGAGGAAGCCTTGACCATCAACGAAAGTTATGGATTACATATCTCTTTGAATATCACTTTTGTTGGAAGTTACTGGGTCTAAATTTGTTTTCACAAGTGCCTTTGTCCCTAAATGATGTTTGGGCGACCAACTTCAAAGAAATCATGGGTTTTCACAAGAGGATCACGATTTCATAGTCTTGAATTGTCTCAAATTTTTATTGTAGAGCAGTAAATTAATGCTCTATACAATTTGAAAAAAATGGGCCACCTGACGATAGCCCTAATAACTCTTTATGGTTATAAAATAAAGTAACGCCTCCAAGCAATGAACTTTGAACTTAGATTCGACTCAAATTTAACGGGTTTCTTTTAAAGGTAAACTTCACTGTAACACGCACACTCTTTTGGTTGGACGTGAAGCAAAAGTGGTTTGTGCGCTTAAGGTTTCGGATTAAGGTCTGGGTTTAAGCTTTAGAGAGATGCTTTGGACTGATTTTAACCACCCAGGAGACTAGATTGGTGCGATCACGTTTATCAGGGGAACCTGAGGGTGGAGGGGTAACCTTGCTGTGGACTGGCATTTTTTTAGGGAAGGAGGAAGTAGCCATAATCATAGCCTCAAGAGGATATGACTTTCAGCGCTAGCTCGAATGTTAGTTTTACCTGAAACCACTCAATAAGTACCAGTTGGAAAGCGCTTCAGAAAAAGGAAATAGATACTTACGATGATTCTTTCGACACTGTGCTTTCTGCACCTAAAAATATGTGCATTTAGGAAACATAACTCTAATTAACACTGCATATAAAACAGACTGGTTCGTTTTCTGCCACACTGTAAAGTGTGGGAAAAACAAAGCAGAATGTTTTTGTTATCTCGAAGATTTGTGTCTAAATAATGATCACCCGTAAACCTGTGGTTTCAATATTTTGCGATCATCCTATATCACATATTCAGTGCTGCTTTTCAATACGGCAGCTCTTAAAAGCACGAAATCGGCAAAGAAAATAAAATTTGAGAAGCCAAAGGCAATTCATTGTAGTTAATGACTTTTAGGAAAAAGCTGAGGATCAGGATTTCCATTCCCGAGGTATATAGGTACGTCAAATTTGAACTGTGGTGATATACGCCATTTATGGAAATAAAACGGCCTTTTATGTATAAGCCAAGGATCCAATCGAAAAATAATATGATTTGAAAACCAAGAAAAGAATATTTTTTTCTAAAAAACGTTGTTTTGATTCCACTATAAGGTATGGTTAATCTTCAGTTTTCTTTTCGCAGACCCAACGAATGTTGCTGAGTAAAAGAAAGCCAATAAATGGCTTCCATGAGTTAGCGATGTCTAAATAATCATATTATTGGAACAATTTTCAGGTTAGAAAGCATAATAATACGTAATTTTTTTACAAAAAATCGAACGTATTTACCTTTTCGTTGACGGTTCCTTCGTTTTAGCAATATAAGTGCAATGAAAATGATCAACACTACGAAGAACACTGCTGCTGAGGAAGCGGCTATTATTACTACTGTGGGGAATGAACTGCTGTTGTCATCTGTGATTACCATGGTTGGTATGAACACAGTTGTTGAAGATCCTGGATTAGATGCGCCTGTATTTTCATATTTCAGATGACGTTAAACATGATATATCAAGAGATGAGAATACCTATTCTAAATAGTGCTCATGAATGATCAGACAAAATTATTTACCGGCTGTCCAACCTTCAAGCGTCCAAAAGAACGAAAACAAGGAAGACCAATATCAAATGGAAAGAGGTCCCTTAAACCCTGCCACACACACACAAAAAGAAAACAACATCAACAATGAGCAAAACAAAAAGCAAAAAAAAGCAAACTAACCATAAATCAAAACAAAACAGAAACAAACACACAAACAAACAAACAAAATTAGGCTAATCTAAGGAAGTTGCTCTTTTATATATTCCCAATCAATCAAAACTGTCAATCAATCAGCGATCTCACCTGATACAGCAGCGGTATCCTGTTCGGTTGACATCTTCCCTTTTGTTGTAACAGTTTTGCGAAAGTTGTATTTCCAGGAGGATTTGTGCTTCTTGGAACAGGATGGAGGAAATAGACTCCTTGACCATTGTCTGTTGAAAAAACATGACGATTTAGACTATAACTAGGTAGACATTTGTGGAGTGGCATTTCGACGGGAATGTATTATTTCCCAAACTTGCCCATAGCCAGCAACGAATCAATACTTTTTCTGCGGGGTTCCCAATAATTTATCTATTATCTTTTATCAAAGTGGCTGGTATTACGGAAACTGTTCCCCTGAAGATGACAAGCCTTCGTACGAGGTGGTCGCAATGGGCAAAAAGGGCAAAATGAAAGAAGAGATTAGGGGTGGGAAAGGAAGGGAAAAAGTAGCTTATAGTTATTCAGATTCGTGAAGCTAAAATTGTTTCTTTTATCTGGTCTTGATCAATACGTGATTCTTTCTCACAAATCCACCTTCTTTGCACGTTTCCTTGAATGGTGCCAGAAGGTCCTTTTATTCCAGTTGGAAATTCCTTATGAATCATCCGAAATAGTCATCCGGGTAAGGACTTGACCTCTCCCATTTGTCAATAGTAAGAGGTTCGTCATTGATCCGAGTCCAATTCTCTGTTGTTGAGTTGATCTCCAAAACAATAAACCATTCACCATATTTACTGCCTGCTCGGTTTTGAATCGCATTTTTGATAAATTCCCATTCCTGCTCTGTTTCCATCACCACAAGGTTTTTGTCGTGGTATTTACAGTTACCATTTGCTTGTGGCCACATAAAACCGTTTAACTGTTTATTGAAGCTGTAACACGAACAAAGCCTTTCTCCATCTGCCAAGAACCAAAAAAACAAAGCAAATCGCAAAGATGTCGTTCTAAGCTTTATCAATAATCAACAACAGGAGGGGGCAAGGGGAGTCTGTGAGCATGGATTACAGATTGAACTTTCATAAGCTCACCCTTCATAAACTTTAGAATTTTCAAAGATTCCTTTCACAATTTCTTCCTCTCGACATACAGATGTGATGAAATAGCACAATCACTGAAAGACAAGATAATAATTTATTCATCTTTATTTAAGCCCTTGCAAGATGGGGGAATTGTGGCTTTGCAGGGACACATACCATCGACATTTTGTTTATCTCACCTTTTTGCGAATCTTAATTACGAACAATCCATTTAGCAAGCATTAACATTCTCAGGAGCAGTTATTTGGTTCACATATTCAATGTCGCTGTCTTCTTTTGATTTCGCAAAGGAAGTGTACGTTCGGGAACCATCGCTCTCAGAGGTCTGCAAAATATTCAGTTTTATTTGTTGCAAAAATCATGTTATAATCGACTTAGTAGGCTTGGTAACGCTGGAAAACACGACTAAAATCGTGAAATCAAATGAAAAAAGAAATTGAACGAAACCATAAACGCTGTATGGCCTATTTCCAAATGAGACCCCTCAAGCGCCATTCCTAAAAAGGTCTTAATCAAACAAGTGATGTTTAAAATATATATAAGGGAAAGTAAGGAGATAAACGGATGAATAATGGTAAATGGATAAAACAATCAAACTTATATAATATGGAAAATTTTTCTGTTAAAAGACCATAGTCAAGGTGTGTCAGAGTAGTAATATATAATCGCAAGGAAAGGGACAATGTAGAGAGCAAACATCTAGAGGAACGGCTAAAAAGTTTAAAGAAAGGAAGTAAGGCACATACTTTAGTCCCTTCTTTTATAAGGCTCATATTGGGTAACTTCGCTGTAAGTATAATTACCATCATTGACTCCGGAATCAGCTCGGTGTATATGCCCTCCTGTTGAATACGCGGTTCACCATGGAACCTTTCAATCCCGGTTCCATTTTCCGATGCAAACTCTAGCCGGGCATCAAAATTAAAAACATTCAATGGCAAGCTCTCTTGAAAGTCACGCTGATTTCTGTATAATGAGAGCAAAAAAATAAACAAACGAATAAACAGACAAAAAGAAAAAAAGTAATAAGGTCCAGATTCATTATTAATGAGCTTTGAAAATGCAATTAGACTGACTGGCAACGGGAAGACAAACAAACTTTTGAAACTTTAAACAACAAACAATGAGCAGCACCCCATATTTATTTGGCGAAGATTCACGAACAAGATATCTACTCCATTTGTTAGAAAACCTACGGAGTTCCAGAGCAGAACCATTTAAAGCAATATAATACTGTTCTCACATCGACGCTTGGGTGCCTTGTGCTCTGGTGATAGTCGATTACCTTCGTGAAATTGCTAAATCTACTCTGGTATGAAATCGATAGGAATGACGATTTCTGCATCGATGGGCATGACAGATATGGTTTCAGCCTATCGAAGGCGCTAGTTAAAATTTTGTTCTACTGGTTATATCAACATTTGAAAAAGACTTCCTCGTTCTTCTCCTTAAAAAGCTGTTTTTTATTCCTATTTTTTTTTTAATTTCTGATTTTATTATAATTATTCCACAAATTCTTATACGTTCTCTTTTTCGAGCATTTCCGCTTCTAAGTAAGTAAATATGGGAATAGTGCAAATCGTTTAGGCTCTTACCCACTGGCTTTTAGGCAACTACATCTGCATTAGCTTTCTGGCTTTTGTCATGTTTCAAAGCATTGAACCATCGGTCTCTACATTTCTGGGTAAGTGTTCTTCCTTCCCAAATGGGCCGAAAACTCTTTGTTGCACTCCGAAAACAAACCAAGTGAATACTGTGCCACAGAGGCAACGTATTCCTTCCGAATCATAAATGTTTATGTATTGTTTAAGAGATACACTCGGCCTAAATTTACATGTGCAATAGACTGAATAAATGTCGAATAAGAGTGACTCAGAAGCAACTTACATCTTGACAGCTTTGTTTCTTGAGGCTTGAGGATAAAATCAAGTACCACCGTTAGCAGCAAAAACAGAAATAAATAAATTTTGTTTCTTCAAAAGGTTTCAATTTAGGTTTTTGGAAAAAAAAAATGACGCCAGACTTCCCGCGATTTGTCGGTTCATCCGGTTGGTACTTTAGTGGAACACATACATGTACTTGGTACCTCGGTTAACAAATTAAAACCTTGACAGCCAAGAGGTAGTCGCGGAGCTTATTGGTGATGTGACCAACTATTTCCTTTGAGCACGTCATTTAAGACGGTTATTTTACTCAGATTTGCCGTAGCGTAATTTTTATGATCCTTTAAGTATGACTTTTCCAAAACCAGTCGGTCTTACAGTGCAGCATAGTAACTGAAGTCCAGGACACTTTAGACTTAGAGAGTGTAATCTATTTCTTCGCCACAACTCGGTTTGTACTTGATTGTTTTATTTTATTTTATTTTTATTATTTATTTATAATCATTGTTGTCAATTTTTTTTCACCTTTACTCGCTACATTTACTTACATTTAGCTTCCTTGCCAGTTTCATTCATATACATTTTTAGAATTGTGGTTGAATCAATATTAAATGATATGTAAATCAAACCTACCCCTAAATTTCCCTGACGATAGAGATGGCTACACGTCACGTTGAATTTAATGGACAATGCAAAAAAAATCTTAGTACTTATTTCTTGTTGTTTTTTTTTCGCAACAGTATCAAAACCACGGCGAGGATGATCATCACTATAAACAAAATGCTGCTAAAATAGCGATTGCCAAATAAAGGAACAAGTACTTGGGATTTTTCAAAAAATTGGCCTGAACCAGTGAATAGTTTTCCATTCACTTCCTGTTGTTTTTTGAACGCACCAATATCATTAACTACTGAAAGTGATATTCTACTTAAATAAAGGAAAATATTTCCTAACTTTGGAAAAGTGACAGATTTTTCAAATCATGCCTTGAAGGCGAACACAATAGTCATAACCATGTATTTAATTTTAAACATTACAACCCAGTCCATGGACTACCTCGATGCACTCCTCAAATTGACTACCCAAAAACGGACCAACCCTTTGACTCTTTTGTCATTTCGCCAACCACAACAAATCACCACGAAACTAGGGCGACTATTTTAAACATTTAGGGCCAGTTATTTATGCGATGTCTAACCGTAACCACGATTTTACGGAAGTTTTTGGGCCAAGGGAGTCTATGTAAGAGGCCTGATTTAATTAAATAAATGTCCTGCCACTCTTAGCTTTCTGCCCTCTTGACATTGTCCACAAAAATAAATGTCTCGATAAAGGTTCGGCTAAATTTTGATGGCTTAGAACGCAGTTTTTGTTAAACAATGGTTAAACTTTGTTAAATAGCCGGCCATCAAAGTCCTTCCTACGTAAAATAGCTCGTAGTCATGCGTATGATTTTCAGCAACCAATCAGAATATCTGACTCGCTAAGGCGTAGACTTCCGCCGTTTCGTGTACGCCCACAACACCGAACACCGCCCGCTCTGGAACGAAGTAAAGTTCATTGATCGTGATCCCTATTTCTAGGCATGCAGGGTAAAAGGGGCAATTCATATAAGAATTCACCCGAACAACATTAACGGAGACTATGGAAATGAAATTCCACACGACTCGATGCCGAAGATCACAAAAACACAACGGCAGGAGAGCCGTGCGGCAGCGGACCACTTAGGGACACTGATCCGGAAGATGCACCAATCACAGTCGTGGAATTACATCTAGTTACAGCTCCGCACAACAGCATTATAGGTTAGCGTACTCAGTCGCCTGAAGAAGACTAGTAGTATGCAGTGAAACACGTTAGAGGTGTGAGACAAACGATATCATTAATTTTCTCTTTTGAAGTGATATTTAACACGATAAAGAACCACAACCTATTTTACGACATAAACAAGACTCTATGTGATTACAAGCGTGACTGAGTTAAAGCTCGAAGCAGAAGCAATACGCTTTAACATTGAAGTGGACACAAGTATTAAATGAAATAAAGTACTGAAACTTGGTACACTGTAGAAACTATTTATTGCCATTTCCCGTGCTGAATCAAAGTTGATCTTTGACCTTTAACGAGAAAATTACGTTATACTGTATGTAAATAATGAGGGCACGTGCTATGTAAGTATAGAGATGGCAGCGCTTTTAATCGAATTCATTCGAAATAGGATTTTGGAGGGTTAGCCTATTCTAGGGTAGTCCATTCGGTTAGTCCAACCGTTAATCCACGGACTTCGGTTCAGTGTTTTGTTCATCACCGTTGTTGTTTCATGTTTAATTCCTTAACGGTTATCGAAGTGACAAGCATTTTTTCAACAGAAAATTTATTAAAATTTATTTATATTAATTAATATTTGAGATAAAAAAGGAGTTTAGAGAGCAAGCAGTTTTTCTGTGAAATAAAAGTCGCACAATATATGATTTCCATATATTCATAATCATCGGAAAATCACTAAGTTGTACAGAATGCTGGTGTTTAAAAACGAGAAAACAAAAAAATTTCCACAAAATTGTACAATTTGGCATAACTGTTTCACATATATTGTCTGCGCTCTTCTATTTAACTGATGACTTCCCCAAAACTTGATTACCTTCTCCCCTTACCAATCTGAATAAGCATTGACCCACACATATATAATGACCGGTCCTTAAAAGCTCGAATCACTATCTTGATGAAAATCCGATTGGATTTATCTAAATTTTATCTAACAATTTGTTCGTTGTAAAACGGTGCGTGAAGTTTTCACTTCTACAATAGCTTGCAGTGCAGGTGTCTTATTAGTGCGAGCTAACGTCATATGTTCGTGATCGTTTATCCGACCGGCCATATTTGATTTGGAGTCAGAGTAGTCGGCAGGGGTAGGGGCACTTCTCCACCCCTACCCCTCTCATTATTATTGACCGTCGACCGCCCCCTTGGTAAAAATTTATTTTTCTACCCAGCCTTCCGCTGCCATTAAAATCGAAGATGGCGGCCTTAATTTCCCTTAAGAAAAATACTGAGCACTCGCTAGCCAAAATTACGCCTGCTCTGCAGGCTACTCCAACAAAATATACATGTATATGGACATTTGTATCATAGATTGCAAGACAGAAACTGGCTGGAGAGTAACATCTACATAGCAGCTTACCTAATGTTGTGACTTTGTCTTGATTGATCATTTTAAGCCCGATTAGGCGATCAAGGCGTAATTATTTCGATGATCTTTTAAATTAGATTTTAAAATTTCCAGAATAAGTCAGTGCTACAAGGCAGCATAGTACTGAAATCCAGAACCTCTAAAACTTATTGGGGTTAAATTTGTTCATTCGTCGCTTATTTAATTTAACATTTTATTACCTTGTTTGTTGGAGTTTACACATCTCTTATGATCATGTTCCAATCAAATACGCCCGTAAATCGCTCTAAAAGTAGAGAGGGCTAAAATTACTGTTGAATTTTTAACAGAAAGCCAATAGGATCCAATTCCATATCTGTCGTTTTTTCGTCGTAGCATCAAAACCTAAGCAAGGATCACGGATTACCAATATTATAAACAACAATCCTGCTAAGTTGGCAATTACCAGATGGTGGGGGAAAGCAGTCATTTTTAGGTCACCGACATTTGTCACAAGCGGCCAGGTTTAATATATTTTTTTCTTCGGCACGTCCCGGAGGATCTTATGTACGGCCTCTTGCGGTGTCCAAGAACTTGAGCACAGCTTTTTATTAGTACGGACCTCTCGGCCGGTAAATTACGTACATTTATTTCATTCAGACACCAGTCGTTTCAAGATTTGCATACGTTGGCTGTAAGGAGTCTGGTACTTCAACATCAGCGTATACCGTAGGCTCATAGCTGGGTGGTTTTGGTGGTTTGGTGGCATCAGTTTCATGGTCAAATTCGGCGAGTTGGGCGTACACAAGGTCTCCCTCCTTTCGCTTGAATCAACACGGAAAAAAAAAATTCATATATCAAAATGCCCTGCTAATGATGATGCTAGCTACAAGTTTATGTCATGGAATCTCTTTTTTTTAATTTTCCTTTTGGTCTGATGCCACATTTAACGAACTTCTCAGCGCAAAGAGCCTCGCTCTAGCGAACATTAATATCTAGATGCCCTTACGTACGTAGATAACAATGTATTCCATAATCTGCCTCTCTTCAGGTTTAGTCATGTACACGATTCTATCCAATCTGCCTGTAGACGTTCAAGACTCTGTTCATTCATCTGCTGCACATGTCAAATTTATTAGAGTCCATCGTTCTAGCAAAAACTTGAAATTACACTGAATCCCAATTACATCCATACTTCTAACGCTAAATGCTCACCTTCTTGTTTGCCTTGTTGACAACAGCATATTCACAATTTTCTGGTGGTGGTCGAAGCCTAGTATTATTCTTGCTGTTCGGTGACCCAAGAAGCTTTGCGGCTTCAACTTGCTTCACAGATTCATATTGGCTTTCTCCTAATTGGTCGTTCTCGCTGCTTAGGTTAAAAAAAAAATGAGAATGTTGGTTTTTGCGTGGGAGCAAAACGGGAGGTTCTGTGAAGAAACCCACGAAGCAAGGACGAGAACCAACAACAACCGCAACCGACACTTATCACCAGATCCAGGAATCGAACCCGAGCCATAGTGGTGGGAGATTAGCGTTCTCGCCACTCCGCCATCCCCGCTCTGAAATCATCGCAGTGCGTGGGAAGATGATTCATTTCAGTCTCAAACATTCTAGACACGTGTGTCCTTAGCAGGGGTTTGAGATACGTTCCTCGCGGTGTCCCTCTCCGTCCAGGAGTATTGATTGGTACACAGAGACCACGTTTGACAGAGACAAAAAGGCACATGACGGAATGTAAGGAGGGGGGAGGGGAAGAAGTAATCCTGCTATGGACTGGATTATCTTTAGGGAAGGGAGTACTATCAATACTCGTAATTGCTCCATGCTATGCTAAGAGGATAGGATTTCTAGCAATAGTATGCTGAACTTACCTTACCCTATACAAATTGAATAAGTACTGGTTGGTGTTATCATTTGGTAATGATCTGTTGTAAGAAACTCAAAACGTACCCCTCAAAAATATAAACAAACGAATTCGAACAATTAAATAAGCAAATAAACATAGAAACAAAGCAAAGATAAATACTGACTTCTTCGGCGCTGACATATTCGGCGAAGACTCTTTAGGCAGTACGCTCTCTGTATCTTAGAAAAACAAACAAAAAAACAAACAAACAAACCATTTACCCCAGGAACCATCTCCTTTGTTAACAAATAATGATAATGATATTTAAAAATAAAAAGATAAACGGTTGTTTTTTCTAAGCGGAGAGTAACAGTGGCTACGACAACAACGTAACAACGAAGACTTTTCTGAAATTGTGGACGCATAAGTGTAGACTGGTGTTAGTTTTACCTATAATCATTTGGAAACCACTTTTTCAACATCTGCCAAACTAGTTATTACGTATTCAAAGCTGGTTTTTTATTCAACATTGCTCATAAGCACGACGTCGACAAAGGAAAGAACGGCTGAGAAGTTAAAAGGCAATTATTCAGGTTAGCTTTGCGACTTTGATGATGAAACCATGCCCGAGTTGCATGTACGTCACAGTGGAACTGCAACGATATTTGACCTTTTATTGGAACACGATTAAGTAGCATGTGCAAGCCAGGTATGTAATCAAAAATAAATGCAATAAATATTATCTGGAAATCAAGGAACAATAACATTTTCCTGAGAAAAGAAAACAACAACAACAAAACGAACATGAAAACAAACAGACAAAAAGGGCTTGTTTGGTCTTCCGTTGTACTGTGTGGTTAGTCTCCAGTTCTATTTTCGCAGTCAAAATAATAGTCTTTGAGAGACAGAAGGTCAGTTAAAGGCTTCGCCGCATGAATGATATCTAAACCATTATATCATTAGAAACTATTTTCATATGGGGAATAATAATAGTTTCATCTTTACAACATCTAGAGACTGTTTACCTTTTCCCTGACGTTTCTTTCGTCTTAATAAAATGACTATGATGATAATAATAAACGCTACGAAGAGCACTACTCCCAAAGATGCGCCTACTATCATTACTGTGGGAGAAGAACTGCTCTTGTCATCCACTGTGGTAGGGGTGTATGTTGATTTCGCTCCGTTTGTTGATTTCGCCGTGGTAAGGATGGAGACAACTGTTAAAGACCCTAGATTTTAAATCAATGTATTAAAAGTTTTGTTCACATGCATATGAATCATGATAGTTTAACCTAGATAGTGATCCTGGCTTTTAACATTGATTTTAGCATAAGAAACAAAAACAAAACACACAAATAAGGAAAACTACTGGGGGGTCAAATCTTTCTTCCTCTGATAAATAAAAAAACAGACAAAATGACGAGCCAACAATAAAAAAAAGAGAGACAAATAGAGACCGTTTCGATTTGTTTTCCAAATTTCAAAACGAAACATACAAACTTCGATTACTTCTTGAAAGTTGCCCTTTTACATATCCTTAAATTAACCTGATACATCAGTGATATCCTGTTCTGTTGACGTCCTGACTTTTGTAGTAAAAGCCTTTGTTCCAGGGGGACTAGTGCTTTGCGGAACAGGATGTACGAAACAGTCTCCTTGACAACTGTCTGTTAAAAGAACATGAAAATTGACACTGTCACTAACTAGACATTTGTGGGGTGGCATTGCGAACAAGTGAGAATGTGTTGTTTTTAGGCTTGCCCATAACCATGAATCGACACATTTCTAAGAGGGTTCTCTTATAATTTATCTATAAAATTTTTTAAAGGGGCTGGTATTACGGGAACTGTTTCCCTGAAGATGATAAGCCTTCAGTATGAGGTGGTCCAAATGGGCGGGTTACGGAAAAGGTAAGGTGGGAAAAGGAAAGATAAGGCGTGGGAAAGGGAAAGATAAGGGGTGGGAAAGGAAAAGATAAGGGGTGGGAAAGGGAAAGATAAGGGGTGGGAAAGGGAAAGATAAGGGGTGGGAAAGGGAAAGATAAGGGGTGGGAAAGGGAAAGATAAGGGGTGGGAAAGGGAAAGATAAGGGGGGGGAAAGGGAAAGATAAGGGGTGGGGAAGGGAAAGATAAGGGGTGGGAAAGGGAAAGATAAGGGGTGGGAAAGGGAAAGATAAGGGGTGGGAAAGGGAGGGGAAAGCAGCCCGTAGCTAATTCAGATTCATCCATGATAATAATTTATGATAAAGCTAAAATCGTTTCTTTTATTTGGTCCTGATCAATACCTGATTCTTTCTCGCAAATCCATCCTCTTTGTACGCCTCCTTTAACGGTGCTAAAAGACCCTGTAAATCCAGGTGGAAATTCCTCATGAATCAGCCCGTAAAAGTCATTTGGGTCAGGACTTGAATTTTCCCATTTGTTAATTGTCAGAGGTTTGCCACTGACCCAAGTCCAATTTTTTGTTGTTATATTCATCTCCAAACCAATAAACCATTCACCATATTCACTGCCTTCTCGGTTTTGAATCGCATTTTTGATAAATTCCCATTCCTGCTCTGTTTCCATCACCACGAGGTGTTTTTTGTGGTATTTACAGTTACCATATGCTTGCGGCCACGCGTAACCTCTTGACTTGTTATTAAAGTTATAACACGAACACAGCCTCTCTCCATCTACATAGAAACAAAAACAAAACAAATTGCAGATATGTTGTTTTAAGCTCTGTCAATAATCAACAACGGGAGGGGGAGGGAGGGGAGTGTGTGAACAACAGGAGAGGTAGGGAGGGGATTGTGTGAAAATGGATTACTTTCTAAAGCCAAGCATTATAACCGAACACGTGACTTGTTAGAGGGTGATCACCATTATTATTCACGCATTGATCAATAAGGTAATTACGTAGTCATTTATCCATGTTTTATTTATTTTTAGTTCTTTAATTATTTGTAGTCTTAAGCAAGACTTAGTAATTCGAAAAAGATCATCAGTCTGAATAAAACCTCGGTTATTTAGATTTAGAGGGAATAGCAGAAGAATCGCGGTGATAGCACAACCTCACGCCATACACACGTCAGTAATCTCATACCCAGACCCTACCGTGTAACTGATAGTTGGGTTTTACAACCGCCTGGCTTTGGAAAGTCTAGGTACGAGACAACCACATTAGATAAACGTCCGCTAACAAAGTAGGCGATCACAATTAAATGTACAGTATTCAATATTTCCTCAAATCTTTTTCATTTACATACTTTTCGTCAAAAAAGGTAAGCTTTGCAAAGATGATTATGATAAAAATCAAAACTGCGAATTTATTCATTAAACCTTCCTTCTTAACCCATGTTAACCAAGCTGTCGTGATGTCGTGAGGAGCATGAGACATTTGGCTTCAAAGCGGTTTCGACAAAATCTGGATCGGACCGGTTTGGATCACGGGCCTGATCACGGATCGGATCGGATCACGGACCGGATCACGGATCGGGTAATGTTAATTGAAATTATAAATTTTGCACGACAAGCCAAAAGAAAAAGAAAGTCTGCGTGACATAATGAAGCGCAGGAACCACTGGGAGATTTTCCATTTTGTTTTTGTTTTTGTTTTTTTGTTTCTGTTTTTCTTTCCTTCGCCCAAAAACCCCGTGTAGCCACTTTCACTGCTGTGAAAGGTAAGGTAAGGTAAGGTAACTTTATTTATACACTGTATTTCCTTCAGGTACATCTACATTCAAGGAGACAAAAATTACTGCCTAACTAAACTAGAATCTAAGATAAAAACTAAAATATTTAAGATGAAAAGAAAACACCTGCTTTTCAAGGAGGCCGTGTGTGAAAATAACATATCGCTAATTAAATTATTTCACTGAATCGAAATTCAGGTCCCTCAATATTCCCTTAAATATAGTAGGGGATGTCAATTGCCGCACCTACAAAGGAACGCTGTTCCATAACACATATCCGCTATAGGAAAGATTTCTTTTATAAAATTTAGCGCGAGGTTGTGGAACAGCGAGCTTGTATTCATTCTCTCTAAGGTTATAACTAGTTAAATTGCAGCGACGAACAGAACGCGAAGTCTGATATTCTGGAGCTGTGTCATTTATAATGCTTTGCACCATTATTGCTTTACTAACTACGCGCTGATTGACAAGACTACGAGGAGTGTTGTGTAGTGCCACCGTGAACCAAGGTAAGCGAGAGATTTGTATCATTTCACCAGTCAGTTAAGAAAAACGCGACACAATCCACAGCTGCTTCTTAAAGTCCTTGAGCTTCTTCCGTTTCCGGTTCGTGAGGCTCTTTGTAGGCCATAGTTCGCAAACTGATCGACCAGAGTGCTAAGACGCGTGACCTCCCACAGAACGCTACGAAATTTCACCAACGAGAAGCTATTTCAGTGACAATCGGTTTGTTTTGCATTCCTCTCAATAACATTTGCGTTTCGCAGCTGTTAGAGATCAGTGGAGGAGCTTAATAGCCGCTCAGATCGAGACAAATCGAAAAAAATTCCGGAAACCTGTTTGTATTTTTGACGAAAACCAAATGCTAAACCGCGTAAATGAAAACCGAAAAACCGAAATGAACAGCAAAACCGAAAAACTAAAGTTTTTTTGGCACAAAAACTGAAAATCAATCTAAAAATAGCCTAGACCGCAAAACCGAAAATCTCAATGCTCGCATCCTGATTGAAGAATGATATGTACCTTGATTTCTCTTGCCTTTGTCCATGGTGGCACTTCACAACACTCCTCAACACAGCGGTGAAAATGACTACATGGAGTTTTGGGGCAAAAAAAAAAAATAATAATAATAAAAGCAAAACATTCAAATGGGTGTGCGCTCCATTACGTCACACAAACTCTATTTTGGCTTATTAAGTAGCATCTCTAATTTTCATTGAAATAATTTTAACTTTTTCACACCCCTTTTTTTAAACTCTTTATTATTTTGTACATGATTTGATTGTTTCAATTTTAGAAGCTCTCCTTTTTTGATCCGTGATCCGATCCGCGAGGTTTTTGTGCTTCAAAAAAAATTCCAGTGGGGCCTGCGCTCGATTATGTCACGCAGACTATATTTTGGCTGTCACGCACAATTTCTAATTTTATTTAACATGATCCGATCCATGATCTGTGATCGGATCCTGATCCGGTCCGTGATTCGATCCGGTCCGATCCAGATTTTCTTGGCGCCCGCTTCATAGGGACAACTAAATGAAAGCTGGTCGAGTTTGCTGGATGACACGTTGGATTTGATCAAAAATGCATGTGTTTCCTTTTCATTTCAATCGACAATCGTTGTACAGCTTGCACTGTGTTAAGGCAAACTGCGTGAAAAGTCTTCTTTCCTAACAATCAATAATATCTGCGCATGTAAGTCATTTTCATTGTAAAAATTCGCATTTGAAATAGATTAAATTTTTATGTCACATTTGATCGATGGCATATAAGTCACGCCATCTTTGACAAGGATCGTTGCACGACATTTTTTAAAACAATAAAGCAAGCTGTTGCGATGTACTTGAGACGTACTGCTTCATAGCGACATCTAAATGAAAGCTGTTCACAGTTCCAAATTCGAGAAAGTCGTACTTAGAGCAAACACGGTACAACGGATCAAAATATATGAATCTATTGCCCTAATGGAGGCCGCTACTTCCTTTTCAATCCAAGCGATCATTGTTGTGTAGCGTGAAGTGTGTTTAGGTAAACTGCGAGGTAATTCTTCTTTAAAAACAATCAAAACATAAGTCACCAATCATTTTTTTTATGCGAGCAAGTCATTTGGTGGTGAGTTTCGCAATTTAAAGCGTTGGATGCGTAAGATATTAGATTTGATCTTAAGTATCAATCACGTACGTACATCAACAAAACTCGTGAAGTCAAGGATTATTTTCAATTCTATTTCACTTACCAGTTCTCGGCGGCAACAAACCAATTGCAAGCACGAACCATACATGTATCCTCGCGAAAGTCATCGTTCTAGGCTTACGTTTTGGATGAGAAAGTTTGAAACGCCACGAAAGTCGACCAATTAAGATATTTATGGTCACTCAACGTGTGACGTGGGAGGAATCAACGGAAGTTTGACAAGAGATTCCGCCTCAGAGAAACTTTAAAGTAAATTAGAAGGAAGTTGAATTTACCAGAAAATGACAATATGAAAAAGAGAAATTTTGAATGATAAAACAACGCAAACTCCTTCTGTCAGCTTCTCTTTTAGCTTTAGACGAGAGGCAAAGTGTTCCGGTTTCTTTCGAATAAGCAGGGTGTAATGCGTTGGATATTTTTGGAATGTTCTCGAAAAGCTTTGTCGACGGATTGAGGTCGTCAGGGTCAGGCACTGTCTAGAAAACCGAACGCCACAATTAAGGAAAAAAATTCAACGCAAGATTCTTTTGTCTCTCTACTATTTATGTATGAACTTATGTGCATATTGCTTGTGGTCTTCCAGATAGCTCGATGGATATTAACAGAGGTTAGTTTCGCATTCATTTTGAAGCGATCTGCTAATGGCCCTGCCAACACAGTTTGATCATTCAAATTTATATCTTTGTATTTTGATTTCTTGTTTGAAAGTATTTACTCAGTCACTTTAACAAAAATCATATCGATGGAATGTAAACACGAGGAACGGAACCCATCAAGGGAATCTTTCTGTACGGATGAGTAATTACCACGATTCGCATGTAAATTTGATAAACAAAGTTCCAAACACTTACGTTATTTCAGTCATCTATTTATTTAAATTTTTTTACACAGACTAAATCGTCCTCTAAGTATGGATCCTGTAAGGACCCACCATACGGGAACGTACTAACGTCCTGTAAGGCAATTTGCCTAAATGTTGTACAACACGACAATGTGTATGAGATAAATAGAGGGCTGTTGTATTGGTTGATTCAATGAAAACAAAATGCTTATTCATTCATCTTTGTTATGGCGTTTTCCAAGACAGAGTGAAAAAAACCTCGAAACAAAGTCCTATCGAATAATTACCACTAACTGCGTAATACAGAATAAGTAAAATAACAATCGACAAAAGCCTTCTCTTTTTTTTAATCCGGAAAAAAAGCCTCGTAGTCGCACGAGGAGGCGAGCTCCTTCACCCATCACGCAACATATGCGCCTATGCAGATACAGTTGCCTCGCCTTGCTGTAATTTTTTTCTCCATCAGTGATTATAGTGTTACGAAGAAGCTGATCTTTTTTTTTTTTTTTTTAATTTCTTTTATTACTTCTGGCAAAGCATTCACTGTACTATGGAACTTAACTGGTATGTAATGTTTTATTACGCTTGCAAAATTTCATTTTGAAAACATACTTAATGATAATAAATTACAAATTTATATAGCTATATTACCATTAAAGAAATGCCTTGGTTTGCTTTCTCCTTTATTTTCATGCTTTTATCATTATTGTTATTGCTATTTTTATTACTGTTTCTATTATTATTCGAACAAGAAGTGATTTTGAAAAGCATTTCACTATAAAAAATTGCGATAAGACATTACTTAAAAACATTTTAAGATTAAAAAATTGCTAAAAAACGACGACGTTTCGACGTTGGCTGAACGTCATTATCAAGTCAAATTAAGAAGTGATTTTTGGTCTATAAATACTAAAAAAACAACAATAGCTGATAAAAGATTGTAACGTGAGAAAATATCAAACAAAGAGTTTCGCACGTATAGAGTCCGTCTGAATATTTAAATTGGGCTTAAGTTTCTTGATGAAGAGCATTTCAAATACTAAGCAATCAAATTTGCCCTGGCACTTTCTTAAAACCGTGAATTGGCTTTCTCTCAAAAGGTTGTTGTTACCATGAGCTTCTAAAAAATGTCTACCGATTGCCGAATTTTTGTGCTCAGCAATGCGTTGATGAAGGTGTCGGGCTGTATACCCGACATAATCTGCATCGCACAGATCACATGAAAAATTGTAAACAACACACTGCTTATTAACAATTGACGGCTTGATTTCTTTGGGTCTGAGATCTTGCCCCAATTTCTTGCTCACGAAAACCGGTTGCAAAGTAGGGCCAATTTTATGGCTAAGATCGCGTAACTGCTTACGAACCGCATTAGCGGCCACTTGATCTTTAAAAGGAAGACTAAATCTTACTGTGCTACTATCATCATTGTTTCTTTCTGCTTCGTTCGCTGAGGAATTTAGAAAAAGAAACTTTTTGATAGCAGAATCAATAAAACTCATTGGATAGTCAAGGCGACTAAATATAGAGCGCAACTTGGCACATTCTGCACTGAAAGCCTCTGTTGTAGACGACAAGGAATAGGCACGATGTATCATTGTCTGTAATAAAGAGTCTTTATAGCGTTTATCCGTGTGACTTTGGAAATGTAGGAGCAATCCGATTTCAATGCCAATTGAATTTTCTATTATTATTATTGTTATTATTGTTATCAGTATTATTTTTTTTAATCTTAAAATTTTGTTTTTGATGGCGAATCTGCTACAAGTTCCAAGCAGTAATAACAGCGAGTTCCACATCATCAGGCGCAGCATGCGTGAACAAAGAAGATTGTTTAGACGACAAATTGGCATAATTTAGAGTCCATTTACTGTGGGTTTCTCAAACCACGATTAAATTAACCCAACGGAAATTCGTGTTTTTCTTTTGTGGTCTTGCTGGGACAAGTACTATCATTACGTCGTTTACTTCAGCTTTATAATCCTAAATTAGTGCCAGCCGTCTCGCGAACACCTCACTCAAGCATTAACATACTCAGGAGTAGGTATCTGGTTCACATATTCAGGATTAGGTATTTGATTCACATATTCAACGTCGCCGTCTTCCACTGTGGATGTGTAAGTTCGAGAACCCTCACCTTCTGGAGCCTGCAAATATCCAGTTTTATTTGTGAGAAAACTAATGGTTTTATCTACTTTACAGACAAGGTTTATCGACTCCAACTGTCCTCTCAATTCCTTTGAAAATTGCTGTTTGCTTGACTAAACTCTCCATTGTCAAGAAACAAAATTGAACGATACCATAAACGCAACCCAGCGATAATAAGATCATCTCCTGATCGTGTAAAACATGTATGTAGTTAATTGAAATTTCTATTCAGGTCTTTGTGACATATTGTGCTTACCATCAAGCAATTAATTTACTACATCTTCTGATGATATAAACTCCGATCTTTGACATAGATACGGCTAAAAGTTTAGACAAGTGGTTCTGAAACGTAATGCCTATTTTCAAATGAAATCCTTCTAACTGGCAATAATGTGATTTTTCACATGAGAAATTGCGATGTTTAAATAGATATATAGAGGAATGATAGATAGATAGATAGATAGATAGATAGATAGATAGATAGATAGATAGATAGATAGATAGATAGATAGATAGATAGATATAGCTGAGTAGTTTGAAAACACTTAGACGTATCGCAATTTTTTCATTCCATTTTTTTGTAATCTTATATTGAAAAATCTTTTGGGGATCATATTAAGTAATTTAAATTCATTACCATCAATGGCTCTGGACTCAGTGCTGTATATATACCCTCCCGTTGGACAAACGGTTTACGGAGCCTAAATAAATAAATAAACAAACAAACAAACAAATGAAAAGAGGTTAGCTGTTAATTAATTTAAGAAATTATTTCATCGGGAATTTCAACTGTACGTAGATTATTTAACAGGGAGGAAAAACTGTAGACTCGATTGCTACCTATGAAATGAACTCCTCCCAAAATCTAAGTGCTCTGAACACTTGGTTTACTACAGCTTTCTAGTCCTGGGTTAACGCTAAATTTCTAACAAACAATCCACTATAGCTTTTGACATGTTTTTTTTCTGATGGTGAAGTATTAACATACCCATGAGCTGGTATTAAATTCTCACATTCAATGTCTTTGGCTTCTCTTGTAGATTCATCAAGCGACGCGTACGTTCGTGAAACATCCTCTTCAGGCGTCTGCGAAACACAGTTTTACTGATTAGGAAATTTTAATTCAATTTTTTGTTTTTCAAAAATCGCATTTGGATCACATTGGATAATTTCGTTCCATTTTATGTATAATTACCATCATTGACTGAGGACATAGTGCGGTATATACACCCTCTTGCTGGACAGACGGTTTACTTTGGAGCCTGTCATTCTTGGTTTCATTTCCCGCGGAAAAACTAGGCTGGGCACAATTATTCAAAGTAATCAAGGGCAAACCGTCTTGAAAGTCGCGTTGATTTCTGTGGAGAGAGAGGTTACATATAAACATACAAAAAGAAAACAGGAAACAAAAGTAGGCTAGCTATAAATGGCATTTGGCAATGGAAATACACTGAGAGCTAACAGTAAGACAACCAAAAAAAAGTTCGAAAAAACAAAGCAGCGAACAGCTCGCCACATTCATCAGGCAATTAGGAAGATATCAAGTAGACTTGATGGTAAATGTAAGAGCAGCGTTTAAGAATCTCTTGCTGTGGCCTTTATTACCAGTTTATGCGAACAGAAAGTTTAGAACCGGTATAAAAGACAGAATACAGATGCGGAAAGAGAATTAAAAGCACGTACAGACTGATTGTGCGAATGGAAAGTTAAGGGTCGTTGAAGAACGCTAAAGATTTGTAAAGAGAATTAACGGCACGTAAAGATTGGTTGTGCGTAAAGAATGTTTAAGAATGTTAAAGGTTGGTAAAGAACAGTGAGTAAAGATGCGCAAAGAATATTAAAGAGGCGTAAAGTTTTATAAGCGAAATTGGTCAAAATACCACGGTAATTCTACGGAAGATGGATGAGCTATAATCATTTCATTTCTTTGAGTATTTCTCCAAATAGAAAGTGGTTAATTATATCCATATTGATCCTTATCCTTTACGAACATTCAATATCCTTTACCCATATCAAACTTTGTGTTTAATTTTGGGTAGACAATGGCACTGGATTACCTTCCTTTCAGAGGCATTTTAATTGTTTGCAGCTTAGAGGCTCTATTGTTTCTGGAACAAAGGTTTGAAAGAACCGACGCTAAGCTAATTTCCGAGCGCGAGATTCAAAATATTCGTTGACTACCAGATGTTGATAATATCACAATTCTCGGGGTAGGGTAAGGGAAATGTCGCTCAGAACAAAGACAATTTCCCTTCGGGGGTTCCGAAGGGAAACTTTGTAACATGAAGCGCGGGCTGCAGAAGTTATTTCTTTTCTTCACGCAAACCGGCGAATGTCAACGTTCAGGAGCACGCTAAAAGGGCTAGGGTTTGTACTTTTAAATACAAGTGGAAAGGCGCAAAACAACTACAAGCAAAACCCAGTCATCGGAAAAGAAACTCAAAAGTGAAGCGAAGTAATAAGCCTATTTTCTGGTCTTTTTAATGCTTTGCAATAGGCCAGCTGATAAGCCGAATCCCCTGCGGGGAAAGTAGCTTACCTAAGGCGAAGAACTGCCGCTGCTATCAATTATGTTCGAAATATCAGTAAACTGTTGGGAGGGTTAAATTGTCATGATAAAATTATTGAATGTCTTAAATGTATAAGAAAACAAAAGCGTCTTTCGTGTTATTTAAAAACACAATTGTTGCGCTATTACTACTGTTACTTCCCCAATTCAAACTAATCGATTTTAACTCTTCGCAGACATATTGCAGATTATAAGTAGTCAATCTAAGAAATTGTAACAGAGTTCCTGGGGAATTTAGTTACGAAACACTTTCAGTGCATTAGTTCCATTAGAGTATTCATAACTTGCAACGCTTTCGTGATCAGTTGTGTATTGTTTTCTCGTCTTTGTTTCTTAATCGTCAAAAGTTAAGATACCGGCCTATAACTTGTTTTGAGCGCAGCTGAGCGTCTTTGAAATTCGCGCTCAGTTGACACCACTGTTTTCTTGTTGTCATGCTAATGGAGTAAATGGCTATAGAGACGCGTGCACTCGACAACGATCATTTCGCTATTGTCACTTAACAACAATCATTTCGCTCGTGTCATCAGAAGAGATCGTCGAAAAAAAGTTTTCTTGAAAATGTTTTCCATGTTTAAGATAGAGAAGGCGCCAAACGCCCTCTAAAGACGCGGACCGAGGCATTTTGAGGGAGAGCAGTCTACTATCTCTTTGCCACTCCTTGAGGTGTACGACTAGCGTATTCGCCATCTGTGCGCTCAAAATGAGCAGTTACGATCTGAAAAAATGGAAGATGTTAAGATCAATAATGACCAGGCGGCGGAATTGGCAGAGAGAACAGCTGAAGTTTTCCAGCTTCGCCAGGAACTTCAGCTTCTAAGACACGAAGTTGCCCAAAGTCGCCTTGCAGTTAACCCTGTAACGAACACCGTGAAATTTAACATCAGCCGCAAAAGCTATTGGGCGTGGACAGGGCTGCGCGGTCTTTGAAGAGAAAAACAATCGGAGACTACCTCCGAAATGCTGCAGAGATTTTACCAGCAGAATTTAAACCAATCGAGGTACGTATCATTGCGAAATTTCCTTGGAAATTACTCAGTAATATATTCACCTGTCGCTGTTTATTCCTTTTACGCTATCAGCAAAGAATCTTTGTGAGAGCGTCTGAAATAAAAATAATGATGCTTAATTGTTATCTGCATTTGCTTCTTGCTGTAGGGTTTTCAGACTTTGATGCGGGCGTTACAGGTTCAAGATAATGATCCAGAATACCTTGAGCCTCGGCGCTTTAAAACATATGTGCAGGAGTGGGGAAAGCTATTTCTTGAAATGTTCTATGATGAAGAAATCACCCTCTACATTCACAGTACGTCAACAAAAATTTAACTCTTAACAAATGTCTTCCTGGATGAAAGTAATGGTGATGATATCAAATAATAATTACACAATGCATCTACTATTTACTATTAGCAGATAAATTAATAGGTCTGAAAGTTAATGTAATTATATAAGCAGGAAGCTTTTAAGTGAAACTTTGTGGTATAAAAATAAATAAATTTAATATTACTCTCTTTTTTCAGCATTAGTATAAAAGAACTACTGGCAAGCCCAGGCATTCCATCGTGGATCACAGAAAGGAGGAAAAAATTCAAAATATACTGCTCAGGTAGGCACCATTAAAAACATAAAATCATTTATATACATACACAATTACAATTAATTAAAGCAGTATGTGTGTAACAGAAAAATTTAGGTGATAACCCGACATTGTGTATGAAGCTTAATATCGGACTGATCAATAATTCCACAATATTTACTGAGCCAGAGGAGAATAATAATATTTTTTTAAGTATACTTGCTCGGGGATTGTCAGAGCAACTGTATTTTCTTTCTTTTTATTTTTTACTTCTACTTTACTTACTTTTTACTTCTGTTCATTTCCATAATCACCTGAGTAATTATACTAATTACATATATTAATTACCTTACAATTAACTGCCACAAAAAAAAAAAATTTAATGACAAGTTGGATTTTTTTCCGGCACACAGGACATCTCTCTTTTTCATTTTTCAACCATGAAGCGCATTCAAAACAACAAACTTGGTGTCCTGTGTCGCCATGAATGAAGCTGGCATTGCGTGGTCTGGTAAAACAGACAACGCACGGGTCAATGGGAACACTGGCACCTTCTCCTCTCCCTTCTCCTCCTCCTTGCCTTCTTCTTCCTCCCTCTCCTCCTCATTATCATTCTCTTCGTCTTCCTCCTCCTCTTCATCTTCCTCGTACTCTTGGTCCTCCTCCACATCATCTTCCTCTACAAATTCCCACTGCTCCCATTCTTCTCCCAACTCCTCTTCACTCCAGTATTCAATCTCTCCCACTTCCTCCTCGTCCACTTCCTCTCCTCTCTCCTCATTATCCCGGCCACTGGGTAACACTTCTGTAAATGTAATTGCCTTGATCCTGAACTTTATAATTTATTTACAATGATAAGTGGCTGCTAACTCACCATCTAAAAAGAACAGATCATCTTCTGAATCTGAAATGATCTCAGTTTCAGCGGAATGATAACCACTATTAAAATCGCTCTGACCCTCAGGGTCTTCTTCTGTGGTGATGGGGCCACCAACGAATCCCCATCCCCATGTTAATTGTCGTTCTTCTTCTAATTGAAATAATTGAAAAAAGTAGTATGTTAAATTGAATACTCAAATTTCTTCTATTTTTTAAAGTGTTGAAACTCCACTTTGCAAAGTATTTTTTTTAGTTACCTGTTGAATCCCTTTCTCTCTTAACTCCTGTGAATTCAGAAATAATTTGATAAATTAATAGATCTTATCAATTACCTTGTCTAATTTTTCAACATTTTTATCAAATTATACCATTTACTTAGGGTTTAGAGTAGTATTTTAATTTGATTCAGTCCACTAAGTCCAAAACTTCCTGGAACAGGAAATATCTCACTAATAAAGTAAGATAAAATTCAGTGATGAGTTTGGTTTACAGACTCGATTTATCCTTTCAAACTCCTTGCTTTTCTGCTACTTTTCTCCAAAACCGAATACTACTTATCACCATTCAAGAATATGAGATACTTTGATAAAAAACAGTCAAACGAGGAAATCAAAATCTAGACTAAATACTTTTTGTTATTGTGTGTAATCCGTCAAGTTGAAATTGTCAGCTATCTTAGCGAGAATAAATGTGGCTCATTTCAATGAACCACCGGCGGATTTACTAGCTTTTACTGTAAGCTACGGTGTGCTGTTTGACTAAGAAATACTTTCGTGGTTACAAACGCGAGTAGGTCGCTGGCAGAAGTACTTAATACGGGTGCATTTAATTCTCACTTACCAAGCCTCGTGTCCTGCTTCCTCCATGATTGATGAACTGGTACTGGTATCGGTGTCAAATTACCAGGTTCCGGTGTTGCATAATTTTGAGGCAAAAATGAAAAGAACGTTGTCCAGAACACGCTATCAGGTTCAAGGCCTATTAGTTATCTTGGCAAGACGCGAGGCTAGTTCAAAAGGGCGACTGGGTGAAAGATAATTGAATAAATCCCTTCTAAGTATGATTATTTGAGTGATACCAACCCCAGGGATGGACACAATCGGCGCGATCTAAAAGTGAGGCGTATGGAACTTTCTTAAAAAAAAAAGGGCCAAAAAAAAAGAAATAAAAGAGTATCACACATTCGAGTTGGTCATTACTTTCTTATATCTGGTGGCTCCTTAAAAGGAGCCGTTTGTTTAAGTGACTACTCAGCGGTAGGTCACTGTTGGCGACCTCGCCGCTGATCTTGGTTTCGCCCAGGTTAGTCTTGTGCGCTCCTTGGGCTTTCGCTCGGCTTGCTTGTTCCGCTCACGGTAGAATGAGACCTTTAAAAGAGTTGAACCAAACACTACTTTCCGCACCATGTCTTTGCAAGCGACGAGGGCTCCATTCCCACCTTGACAGCGCAAACAGCTTGAATGAGCAAAAAAAACTTTTTTGCGCTCTAAAAGAGCAATCTCGACAGGCTTGCCGGGCTGCAACCGACAAGTCGTGGAGGTTTTGAAAGTGTTTAACGACCATCGTGAATGGGCACAGAAAACTTCGTCGCTCGCAAGAGATTTGGCGCGGAAAGAAGTTATCGGTATCCATCGGCATGGTAACGGACGCACGTCTCACGATGCTGGTTGTTGGCGTTTTTTTTTCATGTTCAGCTTCTCTGCAACTAACACAACCAAGGTCTGCAGCAAGCCTGGAGTTCCTTGGTGGCGTGTCCTAAACACTTGTTTTAGGCGCTGGATTTTATCCGTTTCATCCACCCAGCTATCGTACTTCTTTCCATAGCCACACCAGCGGACGAGGTACTGAACGCGACCGTGAGCGTCCGTACGCTTACCGAGCACTTTCGATACTTCATAAAACTTACTCATGTTTCTTAGCTCTTCTCTCAACCAGGGATTGTCTAAAGTGATTATGACTTGTGTTTACGAGGCTTTTATATGCAAGTATCATTGATAAAATTTATTAGCTTTTCAACTAGAGAGCAATACCCCAAATTAGTGAATGGCCCGCCCCCTGAGCGGCGTCGCGTGGACAAGGATAAAAACAAATCTGCGACAAACGTGAGCGCGCGCGAGGTAGGGAGTTGTCACGAAAAAAGGAATACCAAGGAAAGGTTTGTGCAAGCAATTTCAAACCAGTCACACTATTTTTTTTCCCTCACCTAATGCGACGATAAAGATTTTTGTTTGAGAAGTTTTGGCTAACCGGAGAATAAAATCACTGAAACGGAAAAAGGTGCGAAAATCGCACCTTTTGTTTTGCCTTCAACAGCGATGTTTACTTGCTTCAATAGACCAAAAAACAAAACCTCGAGGCCTGACAAAAGACTAAGTAAACCCGCCTTTTCACGCACTCTCGACATCGAGCAGTGTGTCTTCATTCTATTTTTTGTTTACTTTTTTTTTCTTTTCTTCTGTTTGTAGTGGAACAATTAGCGAAAAGCGAAATCATTTAAACGTGAAAAGGTGTAAAAGACAAAATAGTCTTCTTGCCGATCGACGTTGGTCCAGGCGCAATTTGTTAAATAATTATTAGGCCATGTACGAGGGGGTAATCCTGCTATGGACTGGATTCTCTCTAAGGAAGGGAGAAGTATCAATAATTGTAATTGCTCCATGCTATGCTAAGAGGGTAGGATTTCCAGCAATAGTATGCTGACTTACCTTACCCTATACAAATTCAATGAGTGCTGGTTGGTTTTATCATTTGGTAATGATCTGTTGTAAGAAACTCAAAAAGTACCCCCAAAAGCATAAACAAACATACAAACAAATAAACAAATAAACATAAAAACGAAGCAAAGATAAATACTAACTTTTTCGGCGCTGACATCTTCGGTAAAGATTCATTGGGCAGTGCACTCTCTGTATCTTTAACTCAAACAAACAAACTATTTATCAAACTAAACATCGCCATAGTTAACAGAGCATTAAAAAAATAATAATAATAAATAAAAATAAAAGATAAACGTTTTTTTTTTCTCAGCAGACAACAACAACAACAACAACAAAGATGTTTCTGAAATTATGGACAAGCAAGTGCAGCCTAGTGTTTTTTTTCCTTTTTACTTATGATCATTGGGAAACTTCTTTTTAAACATTTCCCAAACTAGTTATTATGTATTAAAAGCTGGTTTTCAATTCAACATTGCTTATAAGCACAACGTCGAAAAAGGAAAGAACGGCTGGGAAGTCAAAGGCAATTAATGAGACTAGTTCTGCAACTTTTATGATGAAACCATTCCAGAGATACATGTACCTCATAGAGGAACCCCAATAATATTTGACCTGTTATGAGAACAAGCTTATGTAGCATGTGTAAGCCAGGGATTCAATAAAACAAAGTAAATACAATAAATATTATCTGGAAACCAAGGAACAATAACATTTACCCAAGAAAAGAAAACAACAACAACAAATATAAAACAAACAAAAAAGGCTTGTTTAAGTGTGGTTAGTCTCCAGTTCTATTTTCGCAGCCAAAATGATAGTCTCTGACAGACAGAAGGTTAGTTCAAGGTTTCGCCCCATGAATGATATCTGAACCACTATATCATTAGAAACTATTTTCATATGGGAAATAATAATAGTTTCATCTTTACAACATCTAGAGACTCTTCACCTTTCCCCTGACGTTTCTTTCGTCTTAATAAAATGACTATGATGAAAATGACCAACGCTACGAAGAGCACTGCTGCTAAAGATGCGCCTACTATCATTACTGTGGGGGAAAAACTGCTCTTGTCATCCGCTGTGGTAGGGGTGTCTGTTGATTTCGCTCTGTCTGTTGATTTCGCCGTGGTAAGGATGGAGACAATTGTTAAAGACCCTAAATTTTAAATCAATGTATTAAAAGTTTTGTTCACATGCACATAAATCATGATATAGTTAAACCTAGGTAGTGATCCTGGCTTTTAATATTGATTTAAGCTTAAGACACAAAGATAAAACATACAAAAAAGGAAAACCACTGGGGGGTCAAATCTTTTTTCCTCAGATAAAAAATAAAAACAGACAAAAAGACGAGCCAGACGGTAAAAAAAGAGAGACAAATAGAGACCGTTTCGATTTGTTTTCAAAATTTCAAAACGAAACATACAATCTTCGATTACTTCATGAAAGTTGCTCTTTTACATATCCTTAAATTAACCTGATACATCAGTGATATCCTGTTCTGTTGACGTCCTGACTTTTGTAGTAAAAGCTTTTGTTCCAGGAGGACTAGTGCTTTGCGGAACAGGATGTACGAAACAGTCTCCTTGACAGTTGTCTGTTAAAGAAAAATGACAATTGACACTGTCACTAGCTAGACATTTGGGGGGTAGCATTGCGATTAGGTGAGAGTCTACTGTTTTTAGGTTTGGCCATAGCTACTAATCGATAGATTTCTAAGGGGTTCTCTTATAATTTATCTATAGAGCTTTTTTTTTACGGGAAAAGAGGCTGGGAAAATGGGCGGGTGGGAAAGAAAAGATAAGGGGTGGGAAAAAGATAAGGAGGTGGGAAAGGAAAGATAAGGGGTGGGGAATGGGAAAGATAAAGGGGTGGGAAAAGGGAAAGATAAGGAGGTGGGAATGGGAAAGATAGGGGTGGGAAAAGGAAGATTTTTAAGGGGGAAAAGGGAAATAAGGGGGGAAAGATAAAAGGGAAGATGATAAGCCTTCAGTATGAGGTGGTGGCAATGGGCGGGTTGGGAATGGGAAGAGGCAAGGTGGGTGGGAAAGGAAAGATAAGGGTGGGAATGGGAAAGATAAGGGGGGGAAAGGGAAAGATAAAGATAAGGGATTGGAAGGGAAAGATAAGGAAAGATGGGAATGGGAAAGATAAGGGGTGGGAAAGGGAAAGATAAGGGGTGGGAAAAGGAAAGATAAGGGGTGGAATGGGAAAGATAAGGGGTGGGAATGGGATAAAGGGGGTGGGGATAAGGGGTGGGAATGGGAAAGATAAGGGGGGAATGGGAAAGGGAAAGATAAGGGGTGGGAAAGGGAAAGATAAGGGGTGGAAAGGGAAAGGGGTGGGAAAAGGGAAAGGGAAAGATAAGGGGTGGGAAAGGGAAAGATAAGGGGTGGGAATGGGAAAGATAAGGGGTGGGAAAGGGAAAGATAAGGGGTGGGAATGGGAGGGCAGAAGCAGTCTGTGGCTAATTCAGATTCATGCATGATAATAATTTTTGATATAGCTAAAATCGTTTCTTTTATCTGGTGCTGATCAATACCTGATTCTTTCTCGCAAATCCATCCTCTTTGTACTTTTCCTTTAAAGGTGCTAAAAGATCCTTTAATTCCAGCTGGAAATTCCTTGTGAATCATCCCGTAAAAGTCATTTGGGTCAGGACTTGACTTCTCCCATTTGTCAATAGTCAGAGATTTGCCATTGACCCAAGTCCAATTTTTTGTTGTCATATTCATCTCCAAACCAATAAACCATTCACCATAATCACTGCCTTCTCGATTTTGAGTCGCATTTTTGACAAATTCCCATTCCTGCTCTGTTTCCATCACCACAAGGTGTTTGTTATGGTATTTACAGTTACCATTTGCTTGTGGCCAATTAAAACTACTTGACTTATTATTAAAGCTATAACACGAACATAGTCTCTCTCCATCTACAAAGAAACAAAAAAAAAACAAATTGCAGATATGTTGTTTTAAGTTCTATCAATAATCAACAACAGGAGGGTGAGAGAGGGGAGTGTTTGAACAACAGGAGAGGTAGGGAGGGGATTGTGTGAAAATGGATTACTTTCTAAAGCCAAACATTATAACTGGACACGTGACTTGTTAGAGGGTGATCACCATCATTATTCACGCATTAATCAATAAGGTAATTAATAATAATAATAATAACGGTTTATTAACAGCGTTTCCATGGGTAAAATGGCCCTACATGTTATACAAACATAAAATTGGGTATAACAATTAAAAAAAAAAATCAGGATTACTTATAATAATATGAACATGCATATCTCTACGAAATATCTACTGTAGCTTTTAAAATTTTATGAGTTTCTTTTGAAAAGGTGTTAACGTCCGGACAGGATTTCACTGCCCTTCTTGAAATAAGAGATGATATATAGCGCGCTATGAAAAGTAAAAGATCACCTTGATGGTTCTGCACTGTAAAATGAAAAGAGCCAAATTGACCCCAAAAGCCAAATTGGCCCCAATTTCTCGAGGGCCAGTTTGGCCCATCAAGGTTCGTTTTGGACTATTTGAGCCAAAACGGGCGGGACAGGTACCATTTCGACCCCTCCAAAATCTGAATTGGCCCCTATGAATTCTACTTTGGAACTTTTTCTCAATTTGGCCCTTCCAAGAGCCAAGTAGGATTGACCAATTTGGCCCCAACGAGGTGCAATTTTTGAAAAAAAAAGAAAATATAATTTTCTTTTTTCGACCATATTTCGTTCCCTATACTATTCCTTATAAAGTGTTCAAATTTTCAACGGTTCCTCTCGTAACTGAACACCGAGTCACACAACGAATTAATCGTTGGCTTTTTCTCGAGACGTGAGCGTGAGCTGCCTGTGATGGCATTAGTCGAACCTAGACCACGTGCGTCGGAAACAATGAATTATAGCAGCGAATTCGTCACTGAAGAGGCTGTTTCTTGGCTACAGTCGCATGGAATGAGACTTAAGAAAGGAAAGGTAGGCAAAAGAAATTTCTTAACAACGTATTTTACTGCAACTTTACATTCACAAACTTGACCGCTCCATTGATCTTTGTTCGTATCTTATCTTGCAGAAAAAGACGGTTGCGATGGCCAAGATCTCCTTGCCATCGCCCAAGATGCAGACGTACCAAGGCACTACATCCCTATTATAAAAGAGCGTCTAAAGCTCAAGAAATTGATTGCAATGAACGCTGAACCTAGAGATGACACGAGTTCTTCGTCGGTACGATAATTAATTTTCCCACCAGAGAATTTGACACATGAATGGTTCGCCTCTTCTCCCGAGTCTTGTTGAGTCTCAGCGGTTTCGCAACTAAAGTCACGTGATCAAATTTTGGCGCCGAGAGATAGAGACGGTTACAGTTCGAATACTGCCTTTGCATAAGATGGATCTAACTTATTTCAAGATTCTCTGATTTTAGGATCTCTCACTCTGAATTCTTAATATTTTTCTTGAAAAGATGAACTGATATTTTTATGTCTATGTCTTTGTCTGCACCACTTAAGCTGATTTTTTGGCCCTCACTCTTTCAGCGTGCAGAATCAAGTCCTTCGAGTAAGACGGTTCAAACGTCGATTGATGATTCAGATAACATCAGCGATTATGAAAATTTAGAGGTGACATTGGCACCGAAAGAAAAGGGTAAATCGCCCAAGGATCTCTGTTTTACGGACGAGGCGACAGAACTGAGCACTGTCTAAGTAAGTTCTTGTATATTAAACTTAGCAGGATGGTGAAGATTACATTATCGATTACTTTCTTTCGATTATACCCTAAAGGAAAACACACAAGGTGCCAGTTGGTCAGTTAAAGATGACAAATCTCGGGGATTGCACCTACAAAAATGGCGAGATTTGCTTTATTTTTATTGAAATATATTAGATATGTATTTACTTGCACCATGCATAAAACAAAGTAAACCCAATTTCTAAATCTGGTAAATTAAAAAATTAGTGAATTGATAGGATGTTATCAGACAGTTTAATTTTTTTGAAAACAAATATTTACCTACAGGTTCCTCCTGAATGGCTTTCAAAATGCCAACTACCATCGAGGGTAAGAAACTTTTCTTTGTTTTGTTTTTTAAGTCTACAAGCAATCCTTATTTATTCATGAATACTGAACTAAAACTGAAGTGCATACAGGTATGATTTCTTTTCTTGATAAGTACATATACAGTTTGGTGAAAATACATCATTGATGATCACTATTATTGTGTTTTTACTTCTTATGCACAGTTTGCTTACAAATATTTTGCAACTTTGTAGTTGCAAAAATTTACTGTTCTCCAACAACAAATTAATTTGCTCATTTGTTTGTTTTTTTGTACAGTTCTCTGCCTTAGTAGAGTTGGATACCTGGAAGGGATATCTCATCAGCAGCCTAAAGTACTCTGAGAAACAGTGGATTGCAAAAAAAAATTATTGCAGAGTAGCCTTGTATGGTTAGCAGGATACTAGACTAAGTTGACTTGGAAACTGAATGGATTGGTATGGTCTAAAAATCTATTGCTTCACCTCTTCTGCTTGCAGTGAAGAGAGACAATTTTGTGGTGCTGAATCTCTTGCCTTAAACTAAAAAGTTGCAAAATAATCACTCTCACCTTTTAAGTTCATGACCTTTGTTCTTGTGTGTTTGTCATCACATGCATTTAATGAAGTTGTGACCATTTTGGAGGTACAAGTCCAAAAAACTGCTACTTTGGTACTAAGATGAACAGCTAAAATTTCTGAGCCCATTTGCCAATGAAGTCCAGATACAAAGGTTCAAGTACTTTGGGGTTGTATTAATTTTGCCTTTTTGTTTAGTTTTTTTGATTTTGCAATTTTTTTAAATATTCCTGTTGTCAAACCATTAGATAAATATTGGACATAGAATAGCTGATTTTTTTCAGATATTTTGGGAGTCATACATTAGTTTTTCAAGTCTTGAATGGGAGACAAATTACACACATTGAGCTAAACTTCCACTTCCATTTCTGGTGTTTTAGCTTGTAGTTTTAGAAAAACAATATATATATATATATATATATGTAAATGTGGGGGTACAGTCTACCTTGGCATAAAGTGCTCAATGCTGTGGTAGCAGAGCTAAGTATACATAAGTTAAAGAATTAAAGAGGACACATCAGTTCTATGTGACTCTGAATTTCGCACTTAAGCGTTTGTCAGGCAGAACTTTTCTGTCTGACAAGCGCTTAGGCACAAAACTCAGTCACAGAGAATTGATGCGTCCTCTTTTATTCTTTAACTTAAGTGTGTATATATATATTCTTTTTTTTTTCTGGCTACAGGCACTTTTTGTACTTTGGCTTAATTTTAATGTGGTTGTAAAACTTGTTTTTATTGCATAGAGTAGCTGATGTTGATTCAGCAATCAGAGATTATGTCCAGCACAAATTTTAATTGTTGGAGATCTTCAATACATCAATCACCTGAATATAGTAACAGAGGGAAGTGTAATTTTGTCACTTCTCACAAGAAAAGATTCTTGATGCTCTCATTGGGTTACTTGGCTCATTTATATTTTCTTACAATCGGTCAAAGGCAATTTGGACTTTTTTTAGAGCAAGCATTGCTTGAAATTGGGCACAGGCAGACTCTTGTCACTGTTTCCTCTATTTTCAATGACTTGGCAAATACCTGCGGTAGTACTTGCTGATAGTTTATATTTTGATAATATCTAAAGTAGCAATATGAGTGTATGTATTCTCACATCCACTGGAAGAATACTCTTTGCTGCTCTAAGGCTCTTTGTTTTTCATATGCAAAAATCAAACAAGATCTATATTCTTGTGCAGGAACTGGACCATTTTTTGCCTCTGTCTTATTTTGATAATTTTCTGTACTTTAAATCAGTCTTAATTATAAGTTGCTTTAAATTACCGCATTTGCTAAGTCATTGAAAAGGGAAGCTTCACTCACAAGTGTCTCTTGGGTGTAATTTCTTGCAATGCTTGCACTGTTAAGAAGTATACTGATTTAGGGAAGAGATCTATTTTAGAAAATGGTTGAATTCATGTTAAATATGTATGTATGTTATATTCTTTCACATGATGTTTTAAAGTTTGTCTGTTTTATACCACAATTAAGATTCGTAATAACTGTAAAATCAGGTAGCGTAAAAGGTTTTTACATAAACAATATCTAGAACCTAATAAATGAGTGTTTGAAAGATAAAGTATGTGGTGTATTTTCATTATTTGAATGTAAGGGGGAAAATCAGCATGGAGAGGAAAGAGCCCTCTACTTCTGAGGTGGCCCACATTGGAGCTGAATTGGCTCTTTTTAAAGGGGCCATTTGTGAGAGGGCTGAAATTTCGGGGGCTGTTTTGGCCCCTATAAATTTCAAATTGGCCCCTGTATTTTTCAAATTCACCCTTCACATGGTCCAATTTGGCCCCTACAACGGGGTCAATTCAGCCCCAAAATTGGTGCCAAAAACAGCCCCATTTCAATGGGGCCGAATTGACCCTAAGCGAGTGCCAAACTGGACTCACTCGTTTTGGCCCCATTTTTGGGGCCAAATCAACTCTTTTAATTTTACAGTGTGGCCGATTTTTCTAAGGCTTTTGATACGGTTTGTTTCAAGACAACGCTAAAGAAATTCTACGAACTCGATCCGCGCGCCGATGATCTTCAATTTGTATGTATCAGACCTGCAAGACAACCTCGATCTATCCACATCTTGTTCTCAATACGCTGATGACACATCCCCTACACTCATTGTGCATTAAGGGAATTGACGTGCGATTTAAACGAATCCCTTACCAAACTTGGATCATGGTCTAAGGACTCCAACCTTTAACCTTGCTTGAACCCTAATAAGACCAAATTCGTGGTTCTCTCCACCCAGCAAATGTCAACACCCACCACAAATTAATAGATCGCGCACTTAATCTCACTGTCGGAGACAACTCTCTTGAGCGAGTCGAATCTACAAAGTTTCTCGGGGTTACCATCTACAGTAACCTCAAATGGGACGACAATATCAAACATTTAGCTGCTTCATGGTATGGTACCTCAGGCACGCTTAAAAAAATCCTTTACTTTACTAAATATAAGTTGAGAAAGGATCTTGCCGAATCGTTAGTTCTATCACGCTTAGACTTTAGTGACATTGTATTTTACTCCCTCAGTGAAAATCGGCTTAAAAAGCTTCAGCATATTCAGTTTCCCGCTGCCAGCTTTGTCACGGGTCACTATGGGAACTCTGTGAATACTTTATTTAAATTAGGCTGGTTACCAATGAGTGAGCGTCGGGACTGGCATTTACTTAAAGCAGCACACAAAGCCCTGTATGATGAACATTGGCCCACGAATCTAAGGCTTGAAGCTTTACAACACGGTAAATGCTTACGATCCAGCAAAAATATTAACCTTAATCCCTTTGAATACCTATTCTCTAATAACAGGAGAAATGTGGAATCGAGTATGGTCATCGGAATCATCGGGGAGATTTCCGATCAGTTCAGTCAGCTCAACGTAGGGAGTCGCATTTACGTTAAGAGTTCTTTGCGCTGTAAACGCGGAATAAGCATTCAGCTCAACAGGATTGAAACGCAAAGGCTTTGGGCTAGGCTTAAGATTTCTGTTTTCACAATTAAGTATTCATTTATCCATGTTTTTATTTATTTTTCGTTAATTATTTGTAGTCTTAAGCAAGACTTAATGATTCGAAAAAGACCATCAGTCTGAAGAAGACCTCAGTTAGATTTAGAGGGAATAGCAGAAGAATCGCGGCGATAGCACAGCCTCACGCCATACACACGCCAGTAATCTCATAGCCAGACCCTACCGTGTAACTGAAAGTAGGGTTTTACAACCGCCCTCAACCGCCTGGCTTTGAAAAGTCAAGGTACGAGATAACCACATGATGATCAGATAAACGTCCGCTAGCAAAGTAGGCAATCAAACGAACATTACTATTCAATACTTCCTCAAATCTTTCTAATTTACATTCTTTTCCTCAAAAAAAGTAAGCACCGCAAAGATGATTATGATAAAAACCAAAACTGCGAATATATCCATTAAACCTTCGCGCGTCACGCTTGAAATGTTTGAGACAATGGTATCATCCCACTTTTACGTCACGGCTGCTTTTGCATGACGTTATTTTGTCACGCCAGGAATATGAGTAATCATTACTCCATATTCTTAATCCATGTGAACCAAGCTGTCGTGAGGAGCATGAGACATTTAGCTTCAAAGCGGCTTCGACAAAATCTGGATCCGACCGGATCGGATCACCGGTCTGATCACGGATCGGATCGGATTACGGACCGGGTCACGGATCGGATCACGGATCGGGTCATGTTAATTGCAATTATAAATTTTGCACCACAAGCCAAAATAAACTGCTGCGTGACATAATGAAGCGCAGGAACCACTGGGAGATTCTTTGTTTTTGTTTTTGTTTTTTTCGTCCAAAAACCCCACGGCTGTGTCGAGGAGTGTTGTGTAGTGCCACCGTGGACCAAGGTAAGCGAGAGGTTTGTATCATTTCACCAGTCAGTTAAGAAAAAGGCGACACAATCCACAGTTGCTTCTTAAGGTCCTTAAGCCTCTTCTGTTTCCGGTGCGTGAAGCTCGTTGTACGCCATAGTTTGCAAACTGATCGACCGAAGTGCTAAGACCCGTGACCTCTCACGGAGCGCTACGAAATTTCACCAACGAGAAGTTATTTCAGTGACATTTGGTTTGTTTCGCATTCCTCTCAATAACATTTGCGTTTCTCGGCTGCTCGAGGTCAGTGGAGGAGCTTAATTGCCGCTCAGATCGTGACAAATCGAAAAAAATTCCGGAAACCCTTTTTGTATTTTTGACGAAAACCGAAAACCAAATGCTAAACCGCGTAAAATCCGCAAACCGAAATGAACAGCTGAAACTAGAGTTTTTTTTGGCGCAAAAACCGAAAATCAATCTAAAAAATAGCCTAAACCGCAAAACCGAAAATCCAATGCTCCCATCCTGATTGAAGAATGATACGTACCTTGATCTCTCTTGCCTTTGTCCATGGAGGCACTTCACAACACTCCTCGAAACAGCGGTGAAAATGACTACATGGAGTTTTGGGGCAAGAAAGAAAAAAATAATAAAAGCAAAACATTCAAATGAGCGTGCGCTCCATTACGTCACGCAAACTCTATTTTGGCTTATTAAGCAGCATCGCTAATTTTCATTGAAATCATTTTAACTTTTTCACACCCCTTTTTTTAAACTCTTTATTATTTTGTACATGATTTGACTGTTTCAATTTTAGAAACTCTCTTTTTTTGATCCGTGATCCGATCCGCGAGGTTTTTGTGCCTTAAAAAAAATGCCAGTGGGGCCTGCGCTCGATTATGTCACGCAGACTATATTTTGGCTTGTCACGCACAATGTCTAATTTTATTTAACATGATCCGATCCATGATCTGTGATCGGATACTGATCCGGTCCGTGATTCGATCCGGTCCGATCCAGATTTTCTTGGCGCCCCCTTCATAGGGACAACTAAATGAAAGCTGGTCGAGTTTGCTGGATGACACGTTGGATTTGATCAAAAATGCATGTGTTTCCTTTTCATTTCAATCGACAATCGTTGTACAGCTGCACTATGTTAAGGCAAACTGCGTGAAAAGTCTTCTTCCCTAACAGTCAAAATGCAGTATATCAATAATATCTGCGTATGTAAGTCATTTTCATTGTAAAAATTCGCCATTAAAATAGATTAAATTTTTATGTCACATTTGATCGATGGCAAATAAGTCACGCCATCTTTGACAAGGATCGTTGCAGGTCTTTTAAAACAATAAAGCAAGCTGTTGCGATGTACTTGAGACGTACTGCTTCATAGCGACAACTAAATGAAAGCTGTTCACAGTTCCAAATTGGAGAAAGTCGTACTTATAGCAAACACGGTACAACGGATCAAAATATATGGATCTATTGCCCTAATGGAGGCCGCTACTTCCTTTTCAATCCAAACGATCATTGTTGTGTAACGTGAAATGTGTTTAGGTAAACTGCGAGGTAATTCTTCTTTAAAAACAATCAAAACATAAGTCACCAATCATTTTTTTATGCGAGCAAGTCATTTGGTGGTGAGTGTCGCAATTTAAAGCGTTGGATGCGTAATATATTAGATTTGATCTTAAGTATCAATCACTTACGTACATCAACAAAACTCGTGAAGTCAAGGATTATTTTCAATTCTATTTCACTTACCAGTTCTCGGCGGCAACAAACCAATTGCAAGCACGAACCATACATGTATCTTCGCGAAAGTCATCGTTCTAGGCTTACGTTTTGGATGAGAAAGTTTAAAACGCCACGAAAGTGAAAGTTACACTCGGCCGACCAATTAAGATATTTATGGTCACTCAACGTGTGACGTGGGAGGAATCAACGGAAGTTTGACAAAAGATCCCGCCTCAGAGAAACTTTAAAATAAATTAAAAGGAAGTTGAATTTACCAGAAAATGACAATATGAAAAAGAGAAATTTTGAATGATAAAACAACGCAAACTCCTACTGTCAGATTCTCTTTTAGCTTTAGACGAGAGGCAAAGTGTTCCGGTTTCTTTCGAATTAGCAGGGTGTAATGCGTTGGATATTTTTGGAATGTTCTCGAAAAACCTTTGTCGACGGATTGAGGTCGTCAGGGTCAGGCACTGTCTAGAAAACCGAACGCCACAATTAAGGAAAAAAATTCAACGCAAGATTCTTTTGTTTCTCTATTATTTATGTATGAACTTATATGCATATTGCTTGTGGTCTTCCAGATAGCTCGATGGATATTAACAGAGGTTAGTTTCGCATTCATTTTGAAGCGATCTGCTAATGGCCCTGCCAACACAGTTTGATCATTCAAATTTATATCTTTGTATTTTGATTTCTTGTTTGAAAGTATTTACTCAGTCACTTTAACAAAAATCATATCGATGGAATGTAAACACGAGGACCGGAACCCATCAAGGGAATCTTTCTGTACGGATGAGTAATTACCACAATTCGCATATAAATTTGATAAACAAAGTTCCAAACACTTACGTTATTTCAGTCATTTATTTAAATCTTTTCACACAGACTGAATCGTCCTCTAAGTATGGATCCTGTAAGGACGTACCATACGGGAACGTACTAACGTCCTGTAAGGGAATTTGCCTAAATGTTATACAACACGACAATGTGTATGAGATAAATAAAGGGGTGTTGTATTGGTTGATTAAATGAAAACAAGATGCTAATTCATTCATCTTTGTTATGGCGTTTTCCAAGACAGAGCGAAAAAAACCTCGAAGCAAAGTCCTATCGAATAATTACCACTAACTACGTAATACAGAATAAGTAAAATAACAATCGACTCAAAGCCTTCTCTTTTTTTTAATCCGGAAAAAAAAGCCTCGTAGTCGCACGAGGAGGCGAGCTCCTTCACCCATCACGCAACATATGCGCGTATGCAGATACAGTTGCCTCGCCTTGCTGTAATTTTTTTCTCCATCAGTGATTATAGTGTTACGAAGAAGCTGATGTTTTTTTTTTTCTTTAAATTTCTTTTATTACTTCGGGCAAAGCATTCACTGTACTATGGAACTTAACTGGTATGTAATGTTTTATTACGCTCGCAACATTTCATTTTGAAAAGATACTTAATGATAATAAATTACCAATTTATATAGCTATATTACCATTAAAGAAATGCCTTGGTTTGCTTTCTCCTTTATTTTCATGCTTTTATCATTATTGTTATTGCTAGTTTTATTACTGTTTCTATTATCGTTATTGTTATTATTGTTATCAGTATTATTTTTTTTAATTTTAAAATTTTGTTTTTGATGGCGAATCTGCTACAAGTTCCAAGCAGTAATAACAGCGAGTTCCACATCATCAGGCGCAGCATGCGTGAACAAAGAAGATTGTTTAGACGACAAATTGGCATAATTTAGAGTCCATTTACTGTGGGTTTCTCAAACCACGATTAAATTAACCCAACGGAAATTCGTGTTTTTCTTATGTGGTCTTGCTGGGACAAGTACTAACATTACGTCGTTTACTTCAGCTTTATAATCCTAAATTAGCGTCAGCCGTCTCGCGAACACCTCACTCAAGCATTAACATACTCAGGAGTAGGTATCTGGTTCATATATTCAGGATTAGGTATTTGATTCACATATTCAACGTCGCCGTCTTCCACTGTGGATGTGTAAGTTCGAGAACCCTCACCTTCTGGAGCCTGCAAATATCCAGTTTTATTTGTGAGAAAACTGATGGTTTTATCTACTTTACAGACAAGGTTTATCGACTCCAACTGTGCTCTCAATTTCTTTGAAAATTGCTGTTTGCTTGACTAAACTCTCCATTGTCAAGAAACAAAATTGAACGACACCATAAACGCAACCCAGCGATAATAAGATCATGTCAAGAGTAAATATCATTTTCTCCTGATCGTGTAAAACATGTATGTAGTTAATTGAAATTTCTATTCAGGTCTTTGTGACATATTGTGCTTACCATCAAGCAATTAATTTACTACATCTTCTGATGATATAAACTCCGATCTTTGACATAGATACGGCTAAAAGTTTAGACAAGTGGTTCTGAAACGTAATGCCTATTTCCAAATGAAATCCTTCTAACTGGCAATAATGTGATTTTTCACATGAGAAATTGCGATGTTTAAATAGATATATAGAGGAATAGATAGATAGATAGATAGATAGATAGATAGATAGATAGATAGATAGATAGATAGATATAGCTGAGTAGTTTGAAAACACTTAGACGTATCGCAATTTTTTCATTCCATTTTTTTGTAATCTTGTATTGAAAAATCTTTTGGGGATCATATTAAGTAATTTAAATTCATTACCATCAATGGCTCTGGACTCAGTGCTGTATATATACCCTCCCGTTGGACAAACGGTTTACGGAGCCTAAATAAATAAATAAACAAACAAACAAACAAAAGAAAAGAGGTTAGCTGTTAATTAATTTAAGAAATTATTTCATCGGGAATTTCAACTGTACGTAGATTGTTTAACAGGGAGGAAAAAACTGTAGACTCGATTGCCACCTATGAAATGAACTCCTCCCAAAATCTAAGTACTCTGAACACTTGGTTTACTTCAGCTTTCTAATCCTGGGTTAACGCTAAATTTCTAACAAACAATCCACCATAGCTTTTGACATGTTTTCTGATGGTAAAGTATTAACATACCCATGAGCTGGTATTAAATTCTCACATTCAATGTCTTTGGCTTCTCTTGTAGATTCATCAAGCGACGCGTACGTTCGTGAACCATCCTCTTCAGGCGTCTGCGAAACACAGTTTTACTGATTAGGAAATTTTAATTCAATTTTTTGTTTTTCAAAAATCGCATTTGGATCACATTGGATAATTTCGTTACATTTTATGTATAATTACCATCATTGACTGAGGACATAGTGCGGTATATACACCCTCTTGCTGGACAGACGGTTTACTTTGGAGCCTGTCATTCTTGGTTTCATTTCCCGCGGAAAAACTAGGCTGGGCACAATTATTCAAAGTAATCAAGGGCAAACCGTCTTGAAAGTCGCGTTGATTTCTGTGGAGAGAGAGGTTACATATAAACATACAAAAAGAAAACAGGAAACAAAAGTAGGCTAGCTATAAATGGCATTTGGCAATGGAAATACACTGAGAGCTAACAGTAAGACAACCAAAAAAAAGTTCGAAAAAACAAAGCAGCGAACAGCTCGCCACATTCATCAGGCAATTAGGAAGATATCAAGTAGACTTGATGGTAAATGTAAGAGCAGCGTTTAAGAATCTCTTGCTGTGGCTTTTATTACCAGTTTATGCGAACAGAAAATTTAGAACCGGTATAAAAGACAGAATACAGATGCGGAAAGAGAATTAAAAGCACGAAGAGACTGATTGTGCGAATGGAAAGTTAAGGGTCGTTGAAGAACGCTAAAGATTTGTAAAGAGAATTAACGGCACGTAAAGATTGGTTGTGCGTAAAGAATGTTTAAGAATGTTAAAGGTTGGTAAAGAACAGTGAGTAAAGATGCGCAAAGAATATTAAAGAGGCGTAAAGTTTTATAAGCGAAATTGGTCAAAATACCACGGTAATTCTACGGAAGATGGATGAGCTATAATCATTTCATTTCTTTGAGTATTTCTCCAAATAGAAAGTGGTTAATTACATCCATATTGATCCTTATCCTTTACGAACATTCAATATCCTTTACCCATATCAAACTTTGTGTTTAATTTTGGGTAGAAAATGGCACTGGATTACCTTCCTTTCAGAGGCATTTTAATTGTTTGCAGCTTAGAGGCTCTATTGTTTCTGGAACAAAGGTTTGAAAGAACCGACGCTAAGCTAATTTCCGAGCGCGAGATTCAAAATATTCGTTGACTACCAGATGTTGATAATATCACAATTCTCGGGGTAGGGTAAGGGAAATGTCGCTCAGAACAAAGACAATTTTACCGGGGGTTCGGAAGGGAAACTTTGTAACATGAAGCGCGGGCTGCAGAAGTTATTTCTTTTCTTCACGTAAACCGGCGAATGTCAACGTTCAGGAGCACGCTAAAAGGGCTAGGGTTTGTACTTTTAAATACAAATGGAAAGGCGCAAAACAACTACAAGCAAAACCCAGTCATCGGAAAAGAAACTCAAAAGTGAAGCGAAGTAATAAGCCTATTTTCTGGTCTTTTTAATGCTTTGCAATAGGCCAGCTGATAAGCCGAATCCCCTGCGGGGAAAGTAGCTTACCTACAGCGAAGAACTGCCGCTGCTATCAATTATGTTCGAAATATCAGTAAGCTGTTGGGAGGGTTAAATTGTCATGATAAAATTATTGAATGTCTTAAAAGTATAAGTAAACAAAAGCGTCTTTCGTGTTATTTAAAAACACAATTGTTGCGCTATTACTACTGTTACTTCCCCAATTCAAACTAATCGATTTTAACTCTTCGCAGACATATTGCAGATTATAAGTAGTCAATCTAAGAAATTGTAACAAAGTTCATGGGGAATTTAGTTACGAAACACTTTCAGTGCATTAGTTCCATTAGAGTATTCATAACTTGCAACGCTTTCGTGGTCAGTTGTGTATTGTTTTCTCGTCTTTGTCTCTTAATCGTCAAAAGTTAAGTTACCGGCCTATAACATGTTTTGAGCGCAGCTGAGCGTCTTTGAAATTCGCGCTCAGTTGACACCATTGTTATCTTGTTGTCATGCAATGGAGTAAATGGTTATAGAGACGCGTGCACTGGACAACGATCATTTCGCTATTGTCACTTAACAACAATCATTTCGCTCGTGTCATCAGAAGAGATCGTCGAAAAAATAGTTTTCTTGAAAATGTTTTCCATGTTTAAGATAGAGAAGGCGCCAAACGCCCTCTAAAGACGCGGACTGAGGCATTTTGAGGTAGAGCAGTCTACTATCTCTTTGCCACTCCTTGAGGCGTACGACCAGCGTATTCGCCATCTGCGCGCTCAGAATGAGCAGTTACGAGCTGAAAAAATGGAAGATGTTAAGATCAATAATGACCAGGCGGCGGAATTGGCAGAGAGAACAGCTGAAGTTTTCCAGCTTCGCCAGGAACTTCAGCTTCTAAGACACGAAGTTGCCCAAAGTCGCCTTGTAGTTAACCCTGTAACGAACACCGTGAAATTTAACATCAGCCGCAAAAGCTATTGGGCGTGGACAGGGCTGCGCGGTCTTTGAAGAGAAAAACAATCGGATACTACCTCCGAAATGCTGCAGAGATTTTACCAGCAGAATTTAAACCAATCGAGGTACGTATCATTGCGAAATTTCCTTGGTAATTGCTCAGTAATATATTCACCTGTCGCTGTTTATTCCTTTTACGCTATCAGCAAAGAATCTTTGTGAGAGCGTCTGAAATAAAAATAATGATGCTTAATTGTTATCTGCATTTGCTTCTTGCTGTAGGGTTTTCAGACTTTGATGCGGGCGTTACAGGTTCAAGATAATGATCCAGATTACCTTGAGCCTCGGCGCTTTAAAACATATGTGCAGGAGTGGGGAAAGCTATTTCTTGAAATGTTCTATGATGAAGAAATCACCCTCTACATTCACAGTACGTCAACAAAAATTTAACTCTTAACAAATGTCTTCCTGGATGAAAGTAATGATGATGATATCAAATAATAATTTCACAATGCATCTACTATTTACTATTAGCAGATAAATTAATAGGCCTGAAAGTTAATGTAATTATATAAGCAGGAAGCTTTTAAGTGAAACTTTGTGGTATAAAAATAAATAAATTTAATATTACTCTCTTTTTTCAGCATTAGTATAACCACAAAAGAACTACTGGCAAGCCCAGGCATTCCATCGTGGATCACAGAAAGGAGGAAAAAATTCAAAATATACTGCTCAGGTAGGCACCATTAAAAACATAAAATCATTTATATACATACACAATTAATTAATTACAATTAATTGAAGCAGTATGTGTGTAACAGAAAAATTTAGGTGATAACCCGACATTGTGTATGAAGCTTAATTGGAAATTCAAGGGGGGGGTTGGATATTCTTTAGAACGACGACACATAATATCGGACTGATCAATAATTCCACAATATTTACTGAGCCAGAGGAGAATAATAATATTTTTTTAAATATACTTGCTCGGGGATTGTCAGAGCAACTGTATTTTCTTTCTTTTTATTTTTTACTTCTACTTTACTTACTTTTTACTTCTGTTCATTTCCATAATCACCTGAGTAATTATACTAATTACATATACTAATTACCTTACGATTAACTGTCACTAAAAAAAAATTTAATGACAAGTTGGATTTTTTTCCGGCACACAGGACATCTCTCTTTTTCATTTTTCAACCTTAAAGCGCATTCAAAACAACAAACTTGGTGTCCTGTGTCGCCATGAATGAAGCTTGCATTGCGTGGTCTGGTAAAACAGACAACGCACGGGTCAATGGGAACACTGGCACATTCTCCTCTCCCTTCTCCTCCTCCTTGCCTTCTTCTTCCTCCCTCTCCTCCTCATTATCATTCTCTTCGTCTTCCTCCTCCTCTTCATCTTCCTCGTACTCTTGGTCCTCCTCCACATCATCTTCCTCTACAAATTCCCACTGCTCCCATTCTTCTCCCAACTCCTCTTCGCTCCAGTATTCAATCTCTCCCTCTTCCTCCTCGTCCACTTCCTCTCCTCTCTCTTCATTATCCCGGCCACTGGGTAACACTTCTGTAAATGTAATTGCCTTGATCCTGAACTTTATAATTTATTTACAATGATAAGTGGCTGCTAACTCACCATCTAAAAAGAATAGATCATCTTCTGAATCTGAAATGATCTCAGTTTCAGCGGAATGATAACCACTATTAAAATCGCTCTGACCCTCAGGGTCTTCTTCTGTGGTGATGGGGCCACCAACGAATCCCCATCCCCATGTTAATTGTCGTTCTTCTTCTAATTGACATAATTGAAAAAAAGTAGTATGTTAAATTGAATACTCAAATTTCTTCTATTTTTTAAACTGTTGAAACTCCACTTTGCAAAGTATTTTTTTTAGTTACCTGTTGAATCCCTTTCTCTCTTAACTCCTGTGAATTCAGAAATAATTTGATAAATTAATAAATCTTATCAATTACCTTGTCTAATTTTCAACATTTTTATCAAATTATGCCATTTACTTAGGGTTTAGAGTAGTATTTTACTTTGATTCAGTCCACTAAGTCCAAAACTTCCTGGAACAGGAAATATCTCACTAATAAAGTAAGATAAAATTCAGTGATGAGTTTGGTTTACAGACTCAATTTATCCTTTCAAACTCCTTGCTTTTCTGCTATTTTTCTCCAAAACCAAATACTACTTATCACCATTCAAGAATATGAGATACTTTGATAAAAAACAGTCAAACGAGGACATCAAAATCTAGACTGAATACTTTTTGTTATTGTGTGTAATCCGTCAAGTTGAAATTGTCAGCTATTTTAGCGAGAATAAATGTGGCTCATTTCAATGAACCACCGGCGGATTTACTAGCTTTTACTGTGAGCTACGGTGTGCTGTTTGACTAAGAAATACTTTCGTGTTTACAAACGCGAATAGGTCGCTGGCAGAAGTACTTAATACGGGTGCATTTAATTCTCACTTACCAAGCCTCGTGCCCTGCTTCCTCCATGATTGATAAACTGGTACTGGTATCGGTGTCAAATTACCAGGTTCCGGTGTTGCATAATTTTGAGGCAAAAATGAAAAGAACGTTGTCCAGAACACGCTATCAGGTTCAAGGCCTATTAGCGATCTTGGCAAGACGCGAGGCTAGTTCAAAAGGGCGACTGGGTGAAAGATAATTGAATAAATCCCTTCTAAGTATGATTATTTGAGTGATCCAACCCCAGGGATGGACACAATCAGCGCGATCTAAAAGTGAGGCGTATGGAACTTTCGGTTCGAATCGAAATGGCTTGAATGCTGATCTTTTTTTTGAGGAAAATAATGAAAAAAAAAAAAGGGCCAGAAAAGAGAAAAAAAAGAGTATCACACATTCGAGTTGGTCATTACTTTCTTATATCTGGTGGCTCCTTAAAAGGAGCCGTTTGTTTAAGTAACTACTCAGCGGTAGGTCACTGTTGGCGACCTCGCCGCTGATCTTGGTTTCGCCCAGGTTAGTCTTGTGCGCTCCTTGGGCTTTCGCTCGGCTTGCTTGTTCCGCTCACGGTAGAATGAGACCTTTAAAAGAGTTGAACCAAACACTACTTTCCGCACCATGTGTTTGCAAGCGACGGGGGCTCCATTCCCACCTTGACAGCGCAAACAGCCCGAATGGGCAAAAAACCCTTTTTTGCGCTCTAAAAGAGCAATCTCGACAGGCTTGCCGGGCTGCAACCGACAAGTCGTGGGGGTTTTGAAAGGTTTAACGACCATCCGGCAGGCATTATGGCGTCAAGCTCGTGAATGGGCACAGAAAACTTCGTCGCTCGCAAGAGATTTGGCGCGGAAAGAAGTTATCGGTATCCATCGGCATGGTAACGGACGCACGTCTCACGATGCTGGTTGTTAGCGGTTTTTTTCATGTTCAACTTCTCTGCAACTAACACAACCAAGGTCTGCAGCAAGCCTGGAGTTCCGTGGTGGCGTGTCCTAAACACTCGTTTTAGGCGCTGGCTTTTATCCGTTTCATCCACCCAGCTATCGTACTTCTTTCCATAGCCACACCAGCGGACGAGGTACTGAACGTGACGGTGAGCGTCTGTACGCTTATCGAGCACTTTCGATACTTCATAAAACTTTTTCATGTTTCTTAGCTCTTCTCTCAATCAAGGATTGTCTAAAGTGATTATGACTTGTGTTTACGGGGCTTTTATATGCAAGTGTCATTAATAAAATTTATGAGCTTTTCAACTAGAGAGCAATACCCCAAATTAGTGAATGGCCCGCCCCCTGAGCGGCGTCGCGTGGACAAGGATAAAAACAAATCTGCGACAAACGTGAGCGCGCGCGAGGTAGGGAGTTGTCACGAAAAAAAGGAATACCAAGGAAAGGTTTGCGCAAGCAATTTCAAACCAGTCACACTATTTTTTTCCCTCACCTAATGCGACGATAAAGATTTTTGTTTGAGAAGTTTTGGCTAACCGGAGAATAAAATTACTGAAACGGAAAAAGGTGCAAAAATCGCACCTTTTGTTTTGCCTTCAACAGCGATGTTTACTTCCTTCAATAGACCAAAAACAAAACCTCGAGGCCTGACAATAGCCTTTTCACGCACTCGATATCGAGCAGTGTGTCTTCATTCTATTTTTTTTCTTTTCTTTTTTTTTCTTTTCTTCTGTTAGCAGTGGAACGATTAGCGAAAAGCGAAATCATTTAAACGTGAAAAGGTGCAAAAGACAAAATAGTCTTCTTGCCGATCGACGTAGGTCCAGGCGCAATTGGTTAAATAATTATTAGGCCAAACCCGCCGCCTTTTCACCGCCGGGCTAAAACATGAGGGATATAATACAACAAGCTGTATTCTAAGTATTGGGGACTAAAATAAAAGGGTTAGGGAGGGGTAATCCTGCTATGGACTGGATTCTCTCTAAGGAAGGGAGAAAAAAGTATCAATAATTGTGAAATTGATTCTCCGTGCTATGCTAAAAGGGTAAAAGGATTTCCAACAATAGTATGCTGACTTACCATACAGACCTATATACAAATTCAATGAGTGCTGGTTGGTTTTATCATTTGTAATTGTCCATGATCTGTTGTAAGAAACTCAAAAAGTACCCCCAAAAGCATAAACAAACATACAAATAAATAAACAAATAAACATAAAAACGAAGCAAAGATAAATACTAACTTTTTCGGCGCCGACATCTTCGGTAAAGACTCTTTGGAGCAGTGCGCTCTCTGTATCTTTAAATCAAACAAACAAACTATTTATCAAACTAAACATCGCCATGGTTAACAGTGCATTAAAAATAATGATAATAATAATAATAATAAATAAAAATAAAAGATAAACGTTTTTTTTTTTTTCTCAGCAGACAACAATAGTGGCTACAACAACAACAACAACAACAACAAATATGTTTCTGAAATTATGGACAAGCAAGTGCAGCCTAGTTTTTTTTTTCTTTTTTCTTATGATTATTGGGAAACTTCTTTTTAAACATTTCCCAAACTAGTTATTTTGTATTAAAAGCTGGTTCTCAGTTCAACATTGCTTATAAACACGACGTCGAAAAAGGAAAGAACGGCTGGGAAGTTAAAGGCAATTAATGAGACTAGTTTTGCAACTGTTATGATGAAACCATTCCAGAGATACATGTACGTCATAGAGGAACTGCAATGATATTTAACCTGTTATGGGAACAAGCTTATGTAGCATGTGTAAGCCAGGGATTCAATTAAAAAAATAAATACAATAAATATTATCTGGAAACCAAGGAACAATGACATTTTCCTGAGAAAAGAAAACAACAACAACAAACATAAAACAAACAAAAAAAAGGCTTGTTTAATCTTCAGATATACAGCGTGGTTAGTCTCCAGTTCTATTTTCGCAGGCAAAATTATAGTCTCTGAGAGACAGAAGGTTAGTTCAAGGTTTCGCCCCATGAATGATATCTGAACCATTATATCTTTAGAAACTATTTTCATATGGGAAATTATAATAGTTTCATCTTTACAACTTCTAGAGACTCTTTACCTTTTCCCTGACGTTTCCTTCGTCTTAATGAAATGACTATGATGAAAATGATCAACGCTACGAAGAGCACTGCTGCTAAAGATGCGCCTACTATCATTACTATGGGGGAAGAACTGCTCTTGTCATCCGCTGTGGTAGGGGTGTCTGTTGATTTCGCTCTGTCTGTTGATTTCGCCGTGGTAAGGATGGAGACAATTGTTAAAGACCCTAAATTTTAAATCAATGTATTAAAAGTTTTGTTCACATGCACATAAATCATGATATAGTTAAACCTAGGTAGTGATCCTGGCTTTTAATATTGATTTTAGCTTAAGACACAAAGATAAAACATACAAAAAAGGAAAACCACCGGGGGGTCAAATCTTTTTTCCTCAGATAAATAAAAAAAACCAGACAAAAAGACGAGCCAAACAATGAAAAAAGAGAGACAAATAGAGACCGTTTCGGTTTGTTTTCCAAATTTCAAAACGAAACATACAAACTTCGATTACTTCATGAAAGTTGCCCTTTTACATATCCTTAAATTAACCTGATACATCAGTGATATCCTGTTCTGTTGACGTCCTGACTTTTGTAGTAAAAGCTTTTGTTCCAGGAGGACTAGTGCTTTGCGGAACAGGATGTACGAAACAGTCTCCTTGACAATTGTCTGTTAAAGGAGCATAACAATTGACACTGTCACTAGCTAGACATTTGGGGGGTAGCATTGCGATTAGGTGATAATTCATTGTTTTTAAGTTTGGCCATAGCTACGAATCGATAGATTTCTAAGGGGTTCTCTTATAATTTATCTATAGAGCTTTTTTAAAGAGGCTGGTATTACGGGAACTTTTCCCCTGAAGATGATAAGCCTTTAGTAAAAGGTGGTCGCAATGGGCGGGTTCTGGAAAAGGTAAGGTGAGAAAAGGAAAGATAAGGGGTGGGAAAGGGAAAGATAAGGGGTGGGAAAGGGAAAGATAAGGGGTGGGAAAGGGAAAGATAAGGGGTGGGAAAGGGAAAGATAAGGGATGGGAAAGGTAAAGATAAGGGGTGGGAAAGCGAAAGATAAGGGGTGGGAAAGCGAAAGATAAGGGGTGGGAAAGGAAAAGATAAGGGGTGGGGAAAGGGAAAGATAAAGGGTGGGAAAGGAAAGATAAGGGGTGGGAAAGGAAAGATAAAGGGTGGGAAAGGGAAAGATAAGGGGTGGGAAAGGGAAAGATAAGGGGTGGGAAAAGGAAAGATAAGGGTGGGAAAGGGAAAGATAAGGGGTGGGAAAGGGAAAGATAAGGGATGGGAAAGGGGTGGGAAAAAGATAAAGGAAAGAAAGAGGGGGGGAAAGGGAAAGATAAGGGTGGGGAAAAGGAAAGATAAGGGGTGGGAAAGGAAAGATAAAGGGGTGGGAAAGGGAAAGATAAGGGGTGGGAAAGGAAAAAGATAAGGAAAGATAAGGGGTGGGAAAGGGAAAGATAAGGGTTGGGAAAGGGAAAGATAAAGGATGGGAAAGGGAAAGATAAGGGGTGGGAAGGGGAAAGATAAGGGGTGGGAAAGGGAAAGATGAGGGGTGGGAAAGGGAAAGATAAGGGATGGGAAAGGTAAAGATAAGGGGTGGGAATGGGAAAGATAAGGGGTGGGAATGGGAGGGGAAAAGCAGCCTATAGCTAATTCAGATTCATGCATGACAATAATTTTTGATAAAGGTAAAATCACTTCTTTTATCTGGTCTTGATCAATACCTGATTCTTTCTCACAAATCCATCCTCTTTGTACGTTTCCTAAAATGGTGCTAAAAGATCCTTTAAATCCAGGTGGATATTCCTCGTGAATCATCCCGTAAAAGTCGATTGGGTCAGGACTTGACATCTCCCATTTGTCAATAGTCAGAGATTTGCCATTGACCCAAGTCCAATTTCTTGTTGTTATATTTATCTTCAAACCAATAAACCATTCACCATTTTTACTGCCTTCTTGGTTTTGAATCGCATTTTTGATAAATTCCCATTCCTGCTCTGTTTCCATCACCACGAGGTGTTTTTTGTGGTATATACAGTGAGCATTTGCTTGTGGCCACGCGTGACCAATTGAGTTGTTATGAAAGCTATAACACGAACACAGCCTCTCTCCATCTACATAGAAACAAAAACAAAACAAATTGCAGATATGTTGTTTCAAGTTCTATCAATAATCAACAACAGGAGGGGGAGGGAGGGGAGTGTGTGAGAATGGATTAAAGATTGAACTTTCTGAAGCCAAGCATTATAACCGAACACGTGACTTGTTAAAGGGTGATCACCATTATTATTCACGCATTGATCAATAAGGTAATTACGTAGTTATTTATCCATGTTTTTATTTATTTTTCGTTCGTTAATTATTTGTAGTCTTAAGCAAGACTAAGTAATTCGAAAAAGATCATCAGTCTGAATAAGACCTCGGTTATTTAGATTTAGAGGGAATAGCAGAAGAATCGCGGCGATAGCACAACCTCACGCCATACACACGCCAGTAATCTTATACCCAGACCCTACCGTGTAACTGATAGTTGGGTTTTACAACCGCCTGGCTTTGGAAAGTCTAGGTACGAGACAACCGCATTAGATAAACGTCCGCTGACAAAATAGGCGATCACAATTAAATGTACAGTACTATTCAATACTTCCTCAAATCTTTCTAATTTGCATACTTTTCGTCAAAAAAGGTAAACTTTGCAAAGATGATTATGATAAAAATCAAAACTGCGAATTTATCCATTAAACCTTCCTTCTTAACCCATGTTAACTAAGCTGTCGTGATGTCGTGAGGAGCATGAGACATTTAGCTTCAAAGCGGCTTCGACAAAATCTGGATCGGACCGGATCGGATCATGGGCCTGATCACGGATCGGGTAATGTTAATTGAAATTATAAATTTTGCACGACAAGCCAAAAGAAAAAGAAAGTCTGCGTGACATAATGAAGCGCAGGAACCACTGAGAGATTTTCCATTTTGTTTTTGTTTTTTTGTTTCTGTTTTTCTTTTCTTCACCCAAAAACCCCATGTAGCCACTTTCACGTCTGTGAAAGGTAAGGTAAGGTAAGGTAAGGTAACTTTATTTATACACTGTATTTCCTTCAGGTACAACTACATTCAAGGAGACAAAAAATTACTGCCTAACTAAACTAGAATCTAAGATAAAAACCAAAATCATTTAGATGAAAAGAAAACACCTGCTTTTCAAGGAGGCGGAGTGTAAAAATAACATATCGCTAATTAAATTATTTCACTGAATCGAAATTCAGGTCCCTCAATTTTCCCTTGAATATAGTAGGTGATATCAATTGCCGCACCTCCAGAGGAACACTGTTCCATAACACATATACGCTATAGGAAAGACTTCTTTTATAAAATTCAGCGCGGGGTTGTGGAACAGCGAGCTTGAATTCATTCTCTCTAAGGTTATAACTAGTTAAATTGCAGCGACGAACAGAACGCGAAGTCTGATATTCTGGAGCTGTGTCATTTATAATGCTTTGCACCATTATTGCTTTACTAACTACGCGCTGATGGACAAGACTACGAGGAGTGTTGTGTAGTGCCACCGTGAACCAAGGTAAGCGAGAGATATGTATCATTTCACCAGCCAGTTAAGAAAAACGCGACACAATCCAAAGTTGCTTCTTAAGGTCCTTGAGCTTCTTCCGTTTCCGGTACGTGAGGCTCGTTGTAAGCCATAGCTCGCAAACTGATCGACCAGAGTGCTAAGACGCGTGACCTCCCACAGAACGCTACGAAATTTCACCAACGAGTAGTTATTTCAGTGACATTTGGTTTGTTCGCATTCCTCTTAATAACATTTGCGTTTCGCAGCTGTTAGAAATCAGTGGAGGAGCTTAATTGTCGCTCAGATCGAGGACAAATCGAAAAAAATTCAGGAAACCCGTTTGTATTTTTGACGAAAACCGAAAACCAAATGCTCAACCGCGTAAAATCCGCAGATTGAAATGAACAGCAAAACCGAAAAACAAAAGTTTTTTGGCACAAAAACCGAAAAACCAATCTAAAAATAGCCTAAACCGCAAAACCGAAAATCCCAATGCCCCCATCCTGATTGAAGAATAATTACAGGCGGCACTTCACAACACTCCTCGACGCGGTGGTGAAAATGACTACATGGAGTTTTGGGGAAGAAAAAAAAAAACATTCAAATGAGCCTGCGCTCCATTGTGTCACGCAAACTTTATTTTGGCTTCTTAAGCAGCATCTCTAAATTTTCATTGAAATAATTTTAATTTTTTCCCCCCCCCCCTTTTTATAAACTCTTTATTATTTTGTAAATGAGTTGATTGTTTCAATTTTAGTAACTCTTTCTTTTGATCCGTGATCTGATCTGTGAGGTTTTTGTGCTAAAAGAAAAAAAAATTCCAGCGGAGCCTGCGCTCGCACAATTTATAATTTTATTTAACATGATCCGATCCATGATCTGTGATCCGATCCCTGATCCATGCGATCCAGATTTTCTCGGCGCCCGCTTCACAGGGACAACTAAATGAAAGCCGGTCGAGTTTGCTGGACGACACGTTTAATTTGATCAATAATGCATATATTTCCTTTTCATTTCAATCGACAATCGTTGTACAACTTGCACTGTGTTAAGGCAAACTGCTTCAAAAGTCTTCTTTCCTAACAGTCAAAATGCAGTTTATCGATAATATTTACGTATGTAAGTCATTTTCATCATAAAAATTCGCAACTTAAATAGATTAAATTTTTATGTCACATTTGATCGATGGCGAACTAGTCACGCCATCTTTGACAAGGATCGTTGCACGACATTTTAAAACAATTAAGCAAGCTGTCGCGATGCACATGAGACGTATAGCTCCACAGCAACAACTAAATGAAAGCATTTCACAGTTCCAAATTCGAGAGAGTCGAACTTAAAGCAAACACGTTACAACAGATCGAAATACATGGATCTATTTCCATAATGGAAGCCTCTACTTCCTTTTCAATCCAAACGATCGTTGTTGTGTAGCATGAAGTGTGTTTAGGTAAATTGCGAGATAATTCTTCTTTAAAAACAATCAAAACATAATTCACCAATCATTTTTTTATGCGAGCAAGTCATTTGGTGGTAAATTTCGCAATTTAAAGCGTTGGATGCGTAAGACATTAGATTTGATCCTTAAGTATCAATCACGTACATACATCAACAAAACTCGTGAAGTCAAGGATTATTTTCAATTCCATTTCACTTACTGGTTCTTGGAAGTAACAAATCAATTGCAAGTACGATCCATACATTTATCCTCACGAAATTCATCGTCCTAGGCCTACGTTTTGGATGAGAAAGTTTGAAACGCCACGATAGTGAAAGTTAGACTCGGACGACCAATTAAGATATTTTTGGTCACTCAAGGTACGACGTGGGAGGAATCAACGGAAGTTTGACATGAGATCCCGTCTCAGAGGAACTTTAAAAGAAATTAAAAGCAAGTTGAATTTAAAGAAAAATGAGAATATGAAAAAGAGAAATTTTGAATGATAAAACAACGCAAATTCCTACTGTCAGCTTCTCTTTTAGCTTTAGACGAGAGGCAAAGTGTTCGGGTTTCTTTCCAATAAGCAGGGTGTATTGCGTGGATATTTTTGGAATGTTCTTGAAAAGTTTTGCCGACGGATTGAGGTCGTCAGGGTCAGGCACTGTCTAGAAAACCGAATGCCACAATTAAGGAAAAAAATTCAACGCAAGATTCTTTTGTCTCTCTATTATTTATGTATGAACCTATGTACATAATGCCTGTGGTCTTCCAGATAAGTCGATATATAGATATTAACAGCGGTTAGTTTCGCATTCATTTTGAAGCGATCTGCTAATCGCCTCGCTGACATAGTTTGATCATTCAGATTTATATCTTTGCACTTTGATTTCTTGTTTGAAAGTATTTATTCCATAGAATGTAAACACGAGGACCGGAACTCATCAAGGGAATCTTTCTGTACGGATGAGTAATTACCACGATTCTCACGTATATTTGATAAACAAAGTCCCAAACACTTACGTTATTTCAGTCACTTATTCATTCCGATATTGATCCTAAATTGGATCACCTAAATTTTTTTACACAGACTGAATCGTTCTCTAAATATGGATCCTGTAACGACGTACCATACGGGAACGTATTAACGTACTGTAAAGGAATTTGCCTAAATGTTACACAACACGACAATGTGTATAAAATTAATAGAGGGCTGGTGAATTAGTTGATTAAATAAAAACAAAATGCTAATTTATTCATCTTTGTTATGGCGTTTTCCAAAACAGAGCGAAAAAACCTCGAACCAAAGTCCTATCGAATAATTACCACTAACTACGTAATACAGAATAAGTAAAATAACAATCAACTCAAAACCTTCTTTTTTTAAAAAAAAATCCGGAAAAAAAAGCCTCGTAGTCGCACGAGGAGTCGAGCTCCTTCGGCCCGTCACGCAATCTCTGCTCTCAAACATATGCGCGTGTGCAGATACAGTTGCCTCGCCTTGCTGTACTTTTTCTCTATCAGTGATTATAGTGTTAATTTCTTTTATTACTTCGGGCAAAGCGTTCACTGTAATATGGAACTTAACTGGTATGTAATGCATTATTACACTTGCAACATTTCATTACTTAATGATCATAAATTTCGAATTTGTATAGCTATATCACTATTAAAGAAATGCCTTGGTATGCTTTTTCCCCCCATTTTTATCATTGTTACTGTTATCAAATTGTTACTATTTCAAATTTTTGTTTTTGATGGCGAATCTGCTACAAGTTAACAAGTTAAATTCTTTGCCAACGAGAGAAAAAAATTTTTTTTCAAATCCCATTTTCAAAGTTTCTTATAACGAATTAATTTTATCATTCCAAAGATTGTTAATTAACTGATGCTGATACGAACGAGGCCGAGGAGAGCGAAGCAGGAAAAGGCAAACAAAGCGATATCGCTTTCACAAAAATGTCACTCTGTATTTTTTCGGTTTTGGTGTCTTTGGATTACCTGACTACCCCGCAACTGATTTTGTTTTAATATCTCCATCAAAATTGCCTTTGACAAACTGCTGATTTAGACTTTTTGAAGGACTGTGGGATCTCTATACGACATATCATG